CACGATGCACAAGACTAAACCAAGCTTCTTACCATCAAAAGTGGCTTCATCTTTCCCACTCATCCCGGCCAGACCAAGTTAACATGGACTAAGAAGTATGGAATGCTTTTTCCAAAACCATCGAATAGACTAGTCTTGGATGGTGCATCAGGAGTCATGATAAAAGAAATGTGATGCCACCACTATTCTCCACATTCATTCATTACTCTCATTTACAATGTTATGCTCTGCTCAGAGAGCTGAGAACTGAAAGACAAAAGTACAGATAGTTTTCCGAGGAAAAGAGTGAGTTTTCATTCACTTCTGCATGCAATGCGTCTAGCGAATTGCTCATAGCACGCCATCCAAATAATGAGTCCCGGTCCACTGTGTTCTTATCAGCACTCAGGAGGCTGTGTTCTGGACTGTCTTGGATTCGGTTCCGTCAACAGGCAATGGCATTGGTAATGGCCAAGGAAAACCGAGGTGCAACCAATTTACTTCAATCGCCTGAGGGATCGTTGCATTGAGGTAGAATACTGGCATTGGAAAACTGGAGCTACCAGGGAGCCTTCTCGATAAAGCCAAAGATTGTACTCTGTGAAAAGCTGACATTATATGGCTGCATTAATTTTCATAAATCCTTGCTGACATCAGGATCATGATGAAGCTAGCACCATTGTAGTAGGCAGTATTATACCAATAATTTGGCTCAAAGTTAAGATTCGCGTCGCAAGGAATATCAACACCCCCAAAGGTCAACTCCACGCCATTTTTGCCATCCACGGCAGTCTCTCTCGCACATGGTCTGTGGTCTAGACTTGGCATGTCTCCAGACTACCACGCGACCCCCCGTACCTGCACGTCACTCTTCATTTTGCTAAAGATAGATCATAGCAGTCGATCATACGGGGTAGATCAGGTGCTCTTCTTGCCCTTCTCCCGCTCAGCCTTACGCAAGGCCCGCTTCCGGATCGACTCGTGCATTCCCCGGTTCTGACCCAAAACCAACTTGCCCATAGTGCCGGTGACGCAGGTCAGGAACCAGGCCATCAGTCCGTGACTCCAGTAGGGGGACGAGCTGTACGCATATGTGGGGGATCCGCCGTTGCGGCCAATCTTAGACAGCACCGCCTTCACAAAAGTCCGGGGGTTAGGGATCGTAGCGCTGGCCCGGCGGATCTTCGACATAGCCGAAGTGATCAGGTATGCCTGCACAAGTTCAACCGTGATGCCATGCTGTTCGAGCTCCGAGCCGAGCGCCGAGGACCACTGCTGCAGGAAGGCCTTGCTGCCGGAGTAGGTCGCAAGAAGGGGCGTAGGAAGCAAACCACCGAAGGAGCCCATTGTCAAGATTAATCCTCGCTTGCGCTGGACCATGCCGGGGACGACCAGCTGCGTAGTCCGCAGAGTGCCGAGGCAGTTGATCGTCACAATATCCGTCAGTTCATCCTCCGGGGTCAAGGCGAAAGGAGTGGGGATGTCGTGGCTCTTTCCGACGTTGTTCACAAGTACCGCCACATCCAGCTCATCCACCAAGGCCTTGAGGTTCTCGAAGTCGCTGTCCTGGTTGCGGGCGTAATCCATCGCCAGCGTCTTGGTCTGCACGAACGGGTATTTGGACGTGATCTCATCACCCAGGGTGGTCAATTTCGAGGCAGTGCGGGAAACGAGAAGGATGTTGAAGCCATCGCGGGCAAGTTGGAGAGCAAATTCTTTGCCCAATCCATCGGAGGCACCTGTGATCACGGCCCAGCTGCCTTTAGGTCCAAAGGAGCGGAGCTGAACGTATCATGGTTAATGCTTGGGTTTTTGCAAGGATATCCCTGATGAAACGTACCGGCTTTCCAGGAAGCACGAACAAACTCAAAAGAACCCTAGCGAAAAGGAGAGCTCTAGAGACAACGAACAAACTCCCCGCTGCGAGGAGGACCGAGGCGCCCACAGTCTGCCATCCAGGGGCCACGTTGAGCTGCCATTTAGACAGGCAGGATATATACTTCGCAACGAGATCCATTGTGCTATTTTTATCCCGTCAACCTGATAGCTCGAGCTTCGAATTGGGGATTTGGCGGGGGAGGATGAAAGGGACAAACGGCGACGCGGAGAGAATCGGCGGGAAGTTTGGTGTTGTGCCAAGAACGGACCTCGGTCCAGCAGCAAACGCTCAACCGTCACCTTCCCTTTCCCTAAGGTTCTCAACCATCACATCAGATCAATCCCACCAGCTTCAACCTAACTCGGTCATCCTCGGTCCAAACTCACCATCCTCACAAACACAATGTCCGCTGTTCAAGCTTGTTTTGCTGCTCCCATGAGTTGCCTCCCTCCGTTTGACGGCTACCTGCCCAAATGGCTCGCCTTCGTACGTGACGCGCCGGAGCATCTTTCCCCCTGAATGTGGAAGTCAGACTTTCTAATAGTGCTTTCGCTTCTTAGATCTCGGTAGTCTCCGCGCTCAACAGTTTGCAAGCCTACAAATCCCATGAGTACTCCGCGCAGCTCTACAATGGCAAAACCCAGTCTGGTCAGAGCCACGCCAACCCTCTGTCATCGCGTACCTTCGCTACCTGGACCTTCCTGTCCGCCGTGATTCGCATGTATGCCGCCTACAACATCACCAATCCCGTCGCGTACGACATTGCGATTTGGACCTACGGTATCGCCTTGCTGCACTTTGTCGGCGAGTGGTTGGGCTTCGGAACGGCCGAGCTCAAGGGTCGCTTCGTCAGCCCCCTCATGGTCGCCTCATCCACTCTCGCGTGGATGTTGACCCAACGAGAGAGCTATCTCTCTCTATGAAGCGGTGCATCGATCTGAAGGAAAGTAGTGGTTTGTTTTGTTAACTGGACCCTTAATAATTAATCAGACTTCCGGGATACGGCGCTACTCCTTGGAATAATTGTCATCCTGCTCATCATGCAAAAGTTATCCTACTACTACATATTATACTGCGATCGTGCTCAAGCGTCCATCTTCTTTCTATACAACTCCCCTCCACAACCCCGTAGTCTGGCAGCGGCCTGTTCCGGGGTGATGTCACGTTGAGGTTCTCCCATCATTTCATACCTACCGTCAAATCAGCAATCTGCGAGGCAAAATCATAAGTGGAAAGGAGTGAGACTTACCCAACCAAGAACTTGCGCACCGTGGCGCTGCGCAGCAGAGGGGGGTAAAAGTGCAGATGCAGGTACGACGACTCGACCTCTTCTTCCGTGCCGTCGAGCGGCGCCTGGTGGATACCCATGCTATAGGGGAAGTGAGTCTCGAACAGGTTGTCGTACCGCCGGGTGATCTCGGCAATGGCTTCGGCCAGCAGGCCCTTCTCTTCGGCGTTCAAGTCGACCAGGGCGCGCTTGTGCTTCTTGCTGACAATCATGGTCTCGAAAGGCCAGATGGCCCACCAGGGGCAGACAACCAAGAACGCGTCGTTTTCGAACACCACACGCTCCTTCTTCTCGCTCTCCAGGGCCGCATAATCCTCCAGCATGTGCTTGCCCCCGCGCTCCTTGCGGTACTTCTTCAACTGCTCCAGTTCCATGGCAGGCTCCTCGGGCAACGAGCTGGTGGTCCAGACCTGGCCGTGCGGGTGAGGGTTCGAGCATCCCATGGCGGCTCCCTTGTTCTCGAAGATCTGCATATACCGGTACTGCTCCTTGGGCTTGGTCAGATCGGCGGTAGGGGAGTTGGGCGGCAAGGTCGTGGCAGGTGCGATGGCAGCCAACGGTGACTTGGGCGACAGGTGGGCCGTATAGATCTCGGTCCAGGCGTCAATGACGGGAGTGATTTCGGCGGCCGACAGATCCGCCAGGGTGAGGTTATGGGCCGCCGAAAAGGTGAGCACATAGCACTTTCCGGTCACCGGCTCGGCCTGCAGGAAGAACGACTCCCGATCTGCGTCGATGTTAGGACCACGTCTCGTTATTTTCCTTTCTGAAGATGAAGAAACACACCATCGCCCTTCTCGGCGGTGTAGGGAGCCTGCTCCTCCTTGACCGCGCTGTAGTCGTTCACGAAGACGAAGGTTTTCTCATACTTGGGGTTGGAATCTCCCTGCGCACGCTTGTTTCCGGGACACAGATAGCAGGCGGGATCATAAGTGGGCAGGGTAGTCTTGGAGGGACTCTCCTGGGCTCCTCTGTTGACGAATGATTTCAGTCTTCTTCTTGCAACAACGGGTCATAGAAAGATTCCAGGGCCAGCTTACTGCCAGGGACGCTTGGTGCGGTGGGGAGAGACCAGGACGGAAGAACCGCGGAGAGGATTGAACCTCCGATGGGAGATGTCGTCGAGGATGCTTTCAACCATTGTGAGAAATCGAAACCGTAGGCTTTACAATCAGACTGGCCGGCAAGAAAGAGAAAGTGCGACGAGAAAAAAATGTGCAAAAATAACAGCGATCAGAAAAAAGCAGGGAAAAGTCGACGGCGGAGAGACGGCGCAATGGCGGGGCAAGCGCAAAACAGTCCAAGGGAGTCGCGGGGTCTCCGGACTGCCACGCGAGTCCCGTGATTGGACAAGACCCTCTCGGGGCAATTCGGTACCGAAACCACGGGGAAGCGAGCTCGGATAATTTCGGCCGATGCCGAACATGAGATGTGCAGGTGGCATGGATGATGGGCATGTTCTTGCCAGAGAGCACAGCTCTCTCTATGGCAAGGATCCTCTGGGGTCTGTTGTAGCAGGCTGTACACCGTAGAGTAGTTATATCAACAACCGTACGGAGTAGACTTTGGTCCCTTTCTCTGCCCTGAATCGGGTAAAAAGGCAGTTGGCGTTAGTCATCAATATTTTGCCGGGGCTCACCGGCTATCCGAGTCATCCCCGGCCCGATGTTGACGTCATGTTGTTCTGATTCCTAAGGTGTCTATCCCGGCCTTATCTGTCAACATCCGGGGAATTCTTGTCAACGGTCCCCCCATGGCACCAACATCCCACTAGATGGAATGTCTGCTCTATACTCCTGCTTTCTTCTTGTACATACCTTAGTTTAAGATAAATATATTCTTGACTCCATCAAAATGAGCACCACCCCCACCCCTCCAGACCCCTCCTCCCTGCACCTCTACTCCCTCCCCAACGAGGTATATATATCCCCCCAACCTCACCAATCCCCCAATATCCCAACCCCCTCTCACCACCCAACCAGGTTTTCGTCCAAATCCTCACCCCATTCTCCACACGCGCCCTCCTCCCCCTAACCACCATCTCGCATCGCTTCCACGCCCTCGTCCTCCGCATCCTCCACTATCGCCTCCTCATATCTGCCTCGCTGCACGAATATAAACTCATTCTCGAATGTTTCCACCCCAGCTCTAAGCTCATCGAACCACATGTCTTCTGCCAGTACCTTGGCACCGACGGGCTCAGCGGTCGACACGAGGGCGCGGGGTCGTTGTACGAGAATGTTGATCCCGCGCAACGCCTGGGACGGTTGACGGCGCTGTATTCGCGGTTTCGGCCGGAGAGGGCCATCGAGGAGAGGTTGAGTGGCATGGGGTTAGTTATTTCGGGTAGGTTTGATTAGTCTCGCTATTTCCTTCTAGGCTTGCGTAGTATTGGTGTAGAGATATATATTCGGGGCTATGTTGTGTCTATGATTATTATATTCCGGTAACTAGCTAATTGGCAATATCTAGATCCCGAGATCCAAGAAAACCAAGACCATTTGACCGTCACGCGACCCGTCAATCTCGAAGCTTTCGAGGAGTTTTCGCAGCTCTGTGTTGTCGTGAATGTCGTCAAGGTTATGCCGGGGACGCATCTTCTTCTGAGCGCAAATACGGTCGAGGACGGAGTTGTCCGGTTGTTTCGAGAGTGGATGAAGGAGCAGGAACGGACTTGCAGTCTTTCTCGGAACGCAGATGACGACGAGGAAAGGGATGAGTTCGAACCTAATGCCGCTGGCGCTAGCGATCTGTCTCAGTCCCAAGCGCCCATGTTGTGGGTCGACCAGGGCAAGAATGTCGGTCTGAAGGTGCGGGTGCGGAAGAAGCAGTATCTCAATGCTGGGTTTCCGTTGCTGATCCATCGGGATGAGGAGGTGTTGACGAGTTACGAGGTGGATATTGAAGGTAGGTTCTGCTTGTATTACGGAGAATTTGTGAGTCCGAAGCTAATTCCGTGGGGTGTAGAATTGCATATTCGGACGACGCGGTTGCTGCTGACTATGGAGCAGTCGTTGGAAGAGCAGCAGAATTACAGTAAAGCGGTGATTTTTACTAGGGGGGTCGGATGATTCTGTCAGATAGATTAAGCATGAATTGCAATACATAGTGTTAGCAACTACCTCTCCATATAGGCTAACATCAGTTGAACTTGACATAAATCGTAAACGTATGCACTAGCTAATAACTAACTCACTCGCTAGCCTCCCATCAGCATCAGAATCCTCAGTTCTCATACGGCATGCCCGACTCCTTCCTAATCGCCCCATACACCCCGGCCAAATCCCCCTTCACGCCCTTCTCCGCCTTCACCCCCTTCAAATACTCATCCGTGACCTCCACACTCCTCAACCGTACACCAACCCTCCCCGCCACATCCGCCGCATGGCCCAGATCTTTGCGCGCCAAATCGACCGCAAACAACGGCTCCTCCCGCTTCCAATACTCCCCGTCGACCATGCGGTCCGCATACTTGGCAAACGGCCCGGGCAAGAACGTATGCACCCACCGACGATACGCCTCCACGCCCAACCCGGACTTCTCGGCCGCCACAAGCCCCTCGGCCACCGACTCCACCGTGTTCAGGATGAACGTGTTCCCTAGGATCTTGAGCGTCGTGGCCGCGCCGACGTCCTCGCCGGGCATGTCCAGCGTCGCTTTGGATGTGACGCCGTCGAAGAAAGGTGTCAGTCGCGCCAGCGACTCTGCTGACCCCGCGGGGACGACGATCATCTGTCCGGCATCGGCGGCGTTCGGGGCCCCGAAGACCGGGCATGCGACGAAGGATGCATTGCGTTGCGCGAGGGAAGCGTGGATCCGTCGCGAGGTGTCCGGGTGGACGGTGGAGCAGTCGACGAAGAGTTTCGAGGCAAGGTCCAGGGAGGTGTCAGAGAGGAAGGTGTTGATGATCTGGTCGAGGGCGGCGTCGTCGCCGACGCAGATGAAGGTGATGGTGGAGGCGCGGACGGCGTCGGAGATGGACTCCGCGACGGTGGCTTTCCCGGAGCCTAGTGATTCGGCGAAGGTGGTTGCTTTGGAGACTGTGCGGTTATACACGATCACGGGGGAGGTTTGGGGGCCTTTGTGGGCGATGTTGCGGCCCATGCCCTGTGGTTTGTTCTGTTAGTTGCTGATGCGGGGAGAGATAAAATAGATAGGTGGGGGGAGATGAGTGAGTGGGTGGGCAACTAACGCGGCCAATGTTACCAAGGCCAATCCAGGCAATTCGTTCGGACGACATGGTGAGTATATACTTGGGATTGTGTATTCCACAAGAGATGATGAACTGAAAGGAAAGAGTGGAAGTTGTACTCCGGTTAAGATGACCGGGAAGATGAGGGACAAAGAAGTGGATCTGGGCCTTGGTGGATCCCGACCTCGGCATTTCCGGTCGATCTCTCTCCCGGACTCTCTATACGGAGTAATATAGCTCTTGCATTATTTCTCGTTCTATATGACGTCTCCTCTGACTGCTTTGTAATTGCAGTGCTTCACCCAGTAGAGATATCATGATCCAGAAACGTGTACTACAAGGCATCAGGATGAAACCAAATAGGACTTGCCAATTGATGCGGTTGATGGAGATCCTCCAAAAATACTAAATGCAAGCAGATGATTGTCTTCGGACAACCAGACATTAACTAGACTACTTGCATCCATCTTTATGGCCTTTAATCAAACTAATGATCTTCTCACAAGCAATCACGCGGCCCTCGCCCTCCAACTGCTCAGCAACTTTCTTCGCCCGATCCGCCATACCGATGGACTCCTCGCTCGCTAGCACGCGAATCAAGGCTTGCCCTAAGTCAGCGCCCCGAAAGGCCGGAGCGCTGTTGCGACTGCCCCAGACTCCGATTCCGCAGTATTCTGTCCGATGCGCAAAGTCATAGGTGTCGAACCAGGTGGGCAGGACAACCTGAGGGACTCCAGCCCTAATCGACACGAAGGTGACGGCGTCAGTACAACCAAGCCGTGAAAGGATGGAGTATCAGAAAAAGATAGAAATAAGTTATAAAAGATGTCATCAACTCACCTCACCGCCTCATGATAAGAGTTCGATCCCCCATGATGAACCATACACTTCACCTGCCCACTCATCAGCACACAGATCGGTGCCACGCTCAGCCACGACTCAATCCGGACGCGATCGCCCTCGATCGCCCCCCTCAGACAGGTCAGAGCCGACTCGTCACGCTCGCCCTGTCTCTGAAGCTTCCACAGGATCTGCATATCCCGCCGCTTCTCCAACAACATCCGGAAACCCTCTGCGAACTCGCGCTCCTGCGCCGCACTGCACGCCACATGAGACCCCATGTTCACGAGCACCGTAGGGCGCAGGGACAGCCACGCCGCGAGCTGGGGGCTCTCGTGGGCGATCGGCGCGCAGGGCCGCACGATCGGTCCGCAGAGGGTGAAGTTGTCGGGCACGAAGCAGGGGAAGTCCGCCCCGGGTGTGGTCACGAGGAGGTAGGGTGTTTTGTCGCCCGAGGTGCTGGTGAAGAAGGGGTTTGGGCCGGGGATGCCGTGCGTGTTTCGGTACTCTCGAAGCTCTTTGACGCGTTTGTTGCCTAGGAGGATCAGGAAGATCTTGAGCGTGAGGAAGGTGTTGAGGGGTGCTAAATACCACGGGACGGGGTAGGGGTATCCCGTGCAGAGACTAGTTCATGGTGAGCTTCTTTGCATATGGGGTAACAGTGGGGATACAGAGATAATTGATTCTAGAGATTGGGTAGGACGAAGAAATGGAAAGTTCCTCACACTGGATATTTCCATAGATTCGCCAATCGAGGCTGAGGAACTAGATCCTTCGCAGTATTCGGGCTCAGTAGGACATGCGGCCACCGCAAGACGCGACAAGCATTCAAACCAATAGTGAACAGACCATCCACGACCACAATGGCGGGCCGAACCTTCTTGATGATATCGACGCAATCACGATAGATAGCGACAAACTGGGGCCCATCCCACGGGTTCATCAGTATCGGGAGAAGGCTGTTGAAGGCCTGGTTGGCACCCCGGAACCCGATCTGGTGATAGTCAAAGTGATCAACGAAATGGGGCGTGTTGATATACACATCTTCCATAGATGGGCCGTTGATTGGGTGAAATGTGGCGGCGGTGGTGGTCAAGGCGAGCTCTTTGGCTCGCTCGTTGAGGGTATCGATAGACCGGGCAAGACTGGGGAAGGAGGCGATGTGGACTGTGTAGGACGGGCGAAGGAGGAACTCGTGGGCCACGGCGAGAATAATACTCGCTTGGCCAAATTCACTGTTTGTGAAGAAGAGAACGGGGTGGCTCTCCATTTTGCTCATGGTTCTTGAGAGTCTGGAGAGGAGGATATCAAGGAATAGGAAGCCACGGTGGGGACGTAGGAGAAGAATAACAAGCAAGACAGTCAAGATCTTAGACTTTATACTCTACAAAGAAGATATGGGCGGAATAAGAGGGGCGAAGGACGTGGTGGATGAAAAGGGATGACCTACAAGCAAGTCTCACAGGAAAACTCCCTTAAAGAGAATGGCATGGTTTGATCTTGTTGGACAGGAGTAACTTGGAAGCACGTTCAGACATTGATGATTATCATTATGAACTTCTTTATGCTCTGTTTGTGAGCCTCTATACAAATTCTATATGCTATATGCAATGTTGGTGATTCGTTCACCTCTATACAGTACTTTTCTGTCGTTCCACCTTCATCTTATCGATCATGTCTTGCCAAGACCCCATCTATTTCTTTCTCCGTCCACTGATCGCCGAGTTCCGCGTATTTACCCGGTCAATGTCATAGGGGTTCTCCTCATACTGCGTAGCCGTTCGAGCCAAAGACCGCCCCGAACGAGCCGACTGTCTACTCGCTCGAGATGCTCGAGACGCCCGTCGACCCATGACACTCTCAGACTGGATCGTCGAGAGACTGTCCGTATCGCTATCGCTGGAATCGTTATTCTCTTCTTCCGGGGCTTGCTCTTCAGGGCCCGTTTTATTCTTCTCCTCGGCAGGCTGCGCCGCACGCGCCGGCTTGTTCTGCATCTCAGCGAGACGATTCATGAAGGCTTCCGACTCAGCGGCGTAAACGCACTTCTTGCGGATCGCCGCTCCATACCAATAGAATAGAAGCGGGAAAGGCGCGCAAGCGAGGGCAAGGAATGCAGGGATCGACGAGGCCCAGTGGATGCCGAGGTTGTTATACATGTAGGTCGTGAAGAGAGGGAAAGCCATGCCGAAAAGCGACCGAAGGGAAGAGTTGGCGGCCAACACGGAGGCCGCGAAGATGGTATACGAGTCGATCAAGTAGTTGAAGACACTGAGGAAAACAAGAACCTCTCCGAACCCAAAGGGGACACCGGCGGCGACCGAGGCCATCCAGTGGATGGAGGGTGAATTGGTCCAAGCGAACCAAAACAGTCCGATTGGGAGAGCGATGCCCCCGACGATACTGGGGGGGAGTCGAACCTCCGGGGCCAAACGCCCCGTGGTTTGTCGACATAGTTTAGCGTAGTGCAGGTTGTCAGGAATGGTGTAGAGAACAGCGAGGACCATTCCTACCAAGACACCCATGAAGGCCAGGCCTCCTACGCCCTCGCTCCAGCCGCGGCCCTGCTGATAAACGATCGGGAAGGCGGCGAACAGCATGTACAGCGTGCCATATATGATGGCCATGTAGATGCAGAACAGGAGGACGATCGGCTCGTGAAACAAAAGCTGCCAGGGCCGCGAGAGCGCCGTGGAGAGCGTTTTGGTCAACGGTACCCTGCCGCGCTCAATATCCAGCTTGCTGCGATAAACTCCGCCATTCAGCTCAGATAACTTGGCGGCTCTTCGACGCAGAAGAACAGGGGCATATGTCTCGGGTAGAAAGAAGGTAACCGCAAGCCACACGACGCCAGAAAACGCAGCCATAAAGCCTTCAACCCAGCGCCATCCTGCACCGGTGCCGAGAAATCCTCCGATGACCGGTCCAACAGTCGGACCACACAGCGGCGCCGCAGCGAACAGACTGATGGCAATGCCTCGTTGAGCTGCAGAGAAGAGATCACTAATACTCCCGCCACCATTTCCAAAGGCTGACGAGCCGGAGAATCCCGCCAGGAAGCGGAGAATGATGAGGGTCTGGATGTTCTGGGCACCCGCCGCGCCGGCATTGAACGCCGTCATGAGGAAATACGTGATGGTAAAGATATGCCGCCGACCGAAGGTTTCACTCATTGGGGCCCAAATTAGGGGACCGAAGGCAAACCCCAACACGAACAGGGAAATGCCCAGGATGGCGACTTCTTGCTCGCAGCCGAAATCCTCGACGATCTGGCTCATACCGCCCGAGTAGGCGGACGAGACCAAAGCGGTAGTGAGTGTGATAAATGAGACCAGGAACGTGTAGGACCATTTCCTCACAGCGCCGAAGTTCATCGGGTTGCGAGGATCGTTGGGGATCCAAATGACCACGTACGGGTCTTCCTCGGTGCCGGTGCCATCGTATGGGTAGTTCGCGATTTCCTGCGTAACCACCTTCTGGTCGAACACCAGACGGAAACAATTGATGCGGGTTGGCAGAATTGCCTCACCAGCGGCTGAGCCTGTCATGCCTGCTGGTAGTTGGTGATACGACGGGTGATCGCTGGTGTCATCCGAGGTCAGCTTAGGGCTTGTTGAGAATGACCGAAGGCGCAATGGCTCGATGCCAACCTCGCTCGGGGATCGTCGTGCGGGTGGCACAATTGTGATAGTATGACCCACCTGGTATTGATTCTATTAGAGCAAATAATAAAAATATTAGGAATTATAGCATTAAGTCCGTGTCTGGCTTGTGCACCCTGGCAAGAGGTCGTTGCCCGCGGAGGAGCCGTAGATTGCAGGATATTCTTCTGTTAGCGAGATCCCGGGCAAATGTTACATGTATGTATAACCAAGAGTGGAAAATTAATCTGGCAATAAGAATGAACGGGCGTGATATTATTACAAGTATTAATATGGGCAAAGAAAATCCAACACGACCAGGAAATCGGCATTGACAACCGAGTGCTGCCTCGGTTAGAGTGGCAGTGTTCAAAGTCTTAAAACCACCAGGGGCAAAAAAACTTGAACCCGCTAAACTAAACGGCACTGCTGACTTGACCATTACCAGCCGGACTTCTCATTCGTGAACGACGGTCGGCCCGGAGTTAGTATTCCTTAGCACCCAGACAAGCAAATGGCCCTTTGATCCACTTCGGCTTGGCCTGCGAATCTAGACAAATCGTGGTTCCCGGTTTCTCGGTCGATGGCAGTGCACCTGGGGATGAGAAGGGTTAGAAATGATAAGCTTCCAGTAATTGACCATGTCCAAGCTATATCTATACTCTCAACGGTTGTGACTTGGCAATTGTTCACCCCGACAAGGGGCAGCCCAACCCTGGTACGGCATCCCGACTAGTGGCTACAAGCATTCTTGGCAGACAAACCCCCAAGTGGTACATGCAATTCCGTCCATCCACTCGTACTTGGACGCGAAGGTGAGAGCGACACATTTCTATCGTTGTATTTCCAATTTGCTTTACACACGGTGTTGCCTGGACGCAACCCCAGGCAAACAAGATAGGGCATGCGTACGTCACGGGGCCGGCACGAGGATGCCGAGGTGGAGCCTGGAGACTCCCCGTAACTACGGAGTACCTAAGGGTCATAACATTTCCAGTTTATGTACATAATCAGTCCGGGCTGCCAAGCGAGATGAGACGCCGGAAAGAAGGTGCCGAGCAAGCTTATTCTCCACGTTGACTTTCGTGGGCTTATTTATGTACAGATGATTTCTGATTTGTGATTTATACATCCTATCACAAGGTTTGCACTGTTTGCAAGCAGTGCAAAGTCGAAAGCGGCTATTTGATGCCTCAGAAGCCAGGTTTGGAAATCACCGAAAGGGGCCTAGCGCAGCACCACTTTCCTCCACGGGAAGAGGAAGACAATCCTGAATCCACAATTCGAGGATTGACCCCCGATCTACTTGACCATTTGATGAAATGCGCATCATATCCCCTTCCTACCAATTACCATACCCCCTCTTCATCAGAGGTATCCAACCACACCGTCTCCGGGACTGGAAAGCGCGTTCCCGGGGATTTCTCTAGCAACATGCTTTTGTAAATGTCATAATATGAACCCCAGACGGTGATGTGCCCCTTGAGTCCCTCCGATAGAGGCCAGTTCCACGAGGAGATGCATCCATCGTAAAGCTCACTCACAAGCGGTTCTGCATGCTGAGTCACATTCACATATACCAGCTCGAAGGCCGAATCGGGTTCTCTGTTCTCCATGGCGAGAACGGTCGGATCTGGGATATATGTCCCATCACTCAAGGCTAGGTCGCGAACGATCATCATATTCTTGAGTTTCAGAGATTGAATTCGCTGCTTTCTCGGTTCAGGACCTAGGAGAGCTATACTCCACAACTGATACAGGCCTCAAAGGTATCGAACACGCTTGGTATGCGTCAGATGGGGTAGGCGACGCTGGAATATGTGGGGTGAATATTCTTTGTGACTGTTAGCAAAGCCATGGAAGATCTTTACCTTCTCGCCTCGGGACCGGGGATCAAAGAGAATCAACGTTAACTTGGACGCGACTGTTGTAATTCTTTTCAAAGTATGCCACAGATTTCTCCAAAACGGCGGCGTTCCGGATCAGTGACCTCCTGAAGCCAGGGAACTTCCCGGTGCGGAGGAACGTTCTGGTTAGTTAGTATAGGATCGAGGGACCCTCCGGTAGGCATCCAGGAACCTTCCTGGATGCTCTGCAGACATTCCTGCCTGAGGCGAAGCCTCGGGCAGTATATACGGGCTCTAGATCCTCCCTCCTAGATAGCCTTTCTTCCCCATGGGAAAATTCTTTGACTACGAGTCAGAAACAAACTTGTCTTATACTAAGCTCCTTTGTAGACCGTCACAGTCTAGACTTCTCATCTTAACTTTACCAAGAATCTTGCGAACTCGATAGGGCCGCAACTTCTTCTGCAGGGCGCGTTATATTCGCGAATCGGTAATACTTTTTAATTTAACAGATATACTACTCTTACTAACTATCTTAGGTATTTCGTATCTCTCCTAGTTCAGCAACGAGATCTTCTACGAATGCTACGCTATTCTATCTCCATTTAAAAACTATCTTAAAAGTACATTCCGCAGCTGTCAGCTGGTGCGTCTTCCCTTACCTCTAGTATCTAATATCTTCTAACCTCAAACGCAGTTCTCCTAACAAGGCCGTTACAAAGAAGTCTTGACGCTCATAAATCAGGTCACTCCTGAGCATTTTTAACCCTTAAAAGCTAATCAATACTGGACCTTCCTCTCAGGGCTCCTCTAACTAAAACGTTAAATATACTAGTTTGTCAAGTCTATCCTCTCCCTCAACTAACCCAACCCAGCAGATCCATTCTAATAACTTTTAATAGTAACAATAAAACCGCCTGTATCTCCCTCCTCTTCTAACTCGAAACTATTCAGCTTTCAGATACTAATATTTCCCTCCTTTTTGCCTTCTAAATTACTGACTACCTTATCCGCTAAGGTAATTACACTCACGCGTTTTCTCTCGTCAAATTTACCGCTTAATCCCTCCACCCTGAGAACTTCGATATTAATTCCCAATTGAAACTTCTCTGCTTGAAAGTTTCTTATCCTCGAAAAGACTGGCCAACTGTAGCGCGAATTCTCTCTCGTTATGTATGCCGTTAGTATCGCCTACTGCGTCCGTCTTCTCCCAGGTCTCTGAGAATCTGTTATAGTGCTGGTAGCCGTATTACTTGCGCTCAGGGAATTCGAAGCTGCTGCAGAACTGATAGAGAACATTATGTCGCAGATCTTAAAGTCGAATGATTGCAATCTGGCGGTAAAGGCGTTCTCGTTGCTCGTAGATACAAATATAGGCGTTGCCGGAAAAGTAAGAGCCCAGGGTCAGAGGGTTAATAATACGTATACGTCGGTGTCGGCATCAGCAGTAGCAAAAAAGGAACATATAAATTGCGCGCTAGAGTATCTAAACTGTGCGTATAAATAGTTTGAGGAGATTGAGTATATCAAAGGACAGTACAAGATAATGGCTAAAAAGGTAACAGTTATATATCTAATGGGGGACTTGATGGTAGCGAATAATTATGCCGCAAAATACCTGGATTTGCAGAAGCAAAGGAGATTTATACATGTGTTTCTGCCTTTGTCAAAGAGCCTTGACTATCCGATAGAAAGCTATAATCTTATCTATTAAGGATTTAGATTTAAGTGATTTTGTCCTTGTTGTAATAGTTGACGGTACTGTTTTAGCTGTTAGAAAGTTAACTTGCCATTTTTGATAACTTTGTAGTATCGACTGAGCATGTCGACTGCGCGTAAGGTAAACTTAAAAGATAGTCTAAACGTATATCGTATAATCAGCATATATTCTCAAAAGTTTAAAAGTCTAGATTAATTTACCTTGTTACCGTCTCCCAAGGGGTAGTTCTTCACCCGGATGTTCTGGTAGGGGTATTCTGTAAGGCACAAAACCGTAAAGATAGGTATGTATTAACGAAGGATAAGCTGCATGGAGTGCAGCGTATTCTGCGGGAAACTAGCTACTACTTATGCTACTATCTTGGATCACTCAGGTGATTCAAGATACCGGAAGGTTCCTGGGAACCTACCGGAAAGTTCCTGACATATTCGGTACGCTCCTCAAGAAGGGGCATGTAATCCCAGTGCTCCTAGTGCTCCTAGTGCTCCTCCTAGAGATTAAAGGCAATTAGGCTACCCAGGACAAGGGCAAAGATAACAGTACTAAGAGAGTATAAATGTTATAATCTGCATAAGTCGCTAGTCTTCAAGAAAGAACTTAATTGCGTCAGTTTCTGAAGTCAGAAAGACAGGGATCGTACTAGATAGAAAGCTTATGTCAGAGGTCTAAATTACAAGTTAATTACATTAACATATTTAATTCATAATAAAGACTGTCTTTAAGCTGTATTTTAGCTCAATTATACTTAGAAAGAAAAAAATATATTACTAGTAGCAGTAGCGTAATGCTGTATAATCTCGCTCTTGCGGTTAAATTCGTTATTTATAGTCTAAGGAAACTTGCTGCTACTCTTAATACTGTTACGCTGACGTTAAACGATAACGCAAACAGGAGCGGAACAAATCTACTGCACAAAACGCTAAATCAGACAAAAGATATTGCGTTAAAGGTATATAGTTAATACTGAAAGAGCAAACGTTACCTAATTGTAACAATACAAGAGAAAGTTAGAAAGAGAGAAAGAGAAACAAGATTATATTAAAAATCTGTTATCCGGTTAACGAAGGTCTAGTGGTCTTGTAATTTTATTCTATTTGCGTCTATTTGTTCGGGTAACTTATGTTAACGTTTTAATTTTAGATTATGTAATATTTTGTTCTGTTACCTGTATTGCGCTCCTGTTAGAAAGTACCTTTCGTCAACACTTAAAGGTAATTGTAAGGATTAGTTATTGTCGATTGATTCTGTCGGGTTATATTAATTCTTTGGCTATAAGATTTTGTATCATTACCTAGAACGGTAGGCACGTTTTCCTTCATGATATACTATATCTGCATCTAATGTATCGTTATAACAGTTGATAGGATCCAGTATAGTCTTCTCGTGAGATTCGAATTATTATCATGCTGAGTGTCTAGCAATCCATTCTCGTATAAGCTGTGACGGTCTACAAAGGAGCTTAGTAAAAGACAAGTTTGTTTATGACTCGTAGTCAAAGAATTTTCCATGGGGAAGAAAGGCTATCTAGGACCTCTATATACTGCCCGAGGCTTCGCCTTAGGCAGGAATGCCTGCAGCGCATCCAGGAAGGTTCCTGGATGCCTACTGGAGGGTCCCTCGATCCTATACTAACTAACCGGAATGTTCCTCCGGAACGTTAATCCGCACCGGGAAGTTCCCTGGCTTCAGGAGGTCACACAAGCTATAACGAGGGAAACGTACCTTCGAGGTACCGGCTATCGCATTCCCAATCTATCTACCCAAACTAATTGCTGTAGGCTATATTCAACATTCTCGAAGCTGACATCGTCGTCTTCTGTAACGAACTGTAACGAACGGCTACGCTAGCGATAAGGAATCGCGGAAATGTAGGATGGTCATTGAACGAAGAAACTAAGCTAAGTTATGAAGCTATTCAGGAGCTGGTTGCGATATGTGTGACAGCTCTGACGCTAGTCCCTATCGGGGAGTTAGGTTATAGGGTATCGCGAGGAAGGTCTTCGGAGGCAGGTCACAGTCCGTGACACGAACGGCTACGCAGGCGATAAGGAATCGCGAGAATGTAGGGTATGCATTCAACGAAGAAACTAAGCTAGGTTGTGAAGCTAGTCCCGATCGGGTAGTTAGGTCATAGTATCACGAAGGAAGGTCTTCGGAGGCAGGTCACAGTCCGTAACATCTTCCAGGAAACCAAGATCTAACCTAAAGATCTGCAAGATAATATAGTTTAAATACCTGGATGAGATCATGAGACTGCTACTTCAGTTTCTCGCGCATTAAAAAAGGTTTGCTCTTCGTCTCGCCTGTTCACCAAATTTAACTAATCAGAATAGGTTACTCTAGTATAGTTATTTACAACTAGAATGTGAGTACCTGTGAAATCGACGCCGAAAATGACCGCCAGTGAGGCCGTTTACGGCGTCATTTCCACACGGCGGTTCAGCGACCGGTTGTTGCTTGAACGATTTACACCCGTGATCTGGCCACTATTCTGCACCCGCCCCATTTTTCTTCGTAGCATGTTGGCTTACCCTGCGAACCTCTTCGACTCATGATAGAATCGCTGCCGAAAATGGCTTCCCTCGCTGCGAAATACAGCTGCTCTCTGATTCCTACAGACTTCCCTGGGCGACCGTATAAAATGTCACTTTTTCTCTTCCCTTTGTCTCCTTTTTCTGGCCATCTCTGTCTCTCGTCACGCCTCTCGACGAACTCTCCTTCCCAACCCAGCGTCAACTGTTGCGAGCACTGCCTTCAAACCTCCCTTTTTCTTTATTCATATTATATCTGTTCGTCTCAATGACGCCGCCTCCTCTTCCTCCTGCGAACCCCGACGAGCACCAGTACTGGACCGATCCTATCCTGTGCGAGGAGACTCGGACCAGACTTGAGCATTTCCGAAATCTGGGATGGCTTCCCCCTAACTACAAGCCCAGGACACTTGAAGGTCTTGCAGTTGTCGAACGGTACTGGCGAAGGCACGTCATCTCTTCACTCTCACGGTAACCAGAGGATGTTCCAATAAAACTAACACCTGCAGATATTGTGCACATTCAAACGAGGACTATGTGGAATATCTACTGTCGGAAGACAAAGCCATCTATATGAACTTTCTTGACTGGATGTCAAGGACCTCGCGTGCGAAAAGACTTCAGACCTATGATGAATATTGGCGGCACTTGTGCCAATACTTTGGCTTGTTTGCCCGCCGGCCTGTAAATCATCATGTTCATGAGCAGATGCGACGAGTATGTTTAAGCTTCCTGTTCCATTCTTACACCTGGATACTCAATAGACAACAGTACCTTGAACAAGTTTTTCCTGCAGAGCGCAAGATCAGTAGGCGCGTGAAAAAGAAGAGCACACTGGACATAGATGATTTCTGCGTCCTTTTACGCCACCACTGGGTCCATTCTTTTTTCTTCCGTCATGGGAGCATGATTATCCAGCAAGCTATGATCATGCTCTGGTCCTCCATCACAGGGATTCGACCAGATGTGCTACTTCCACAGCGAGATGCTACAAATGATCCCAATGCATCACAAGATGGCTCGCTTTCGCTCGGCCCAAGGAAGCGCAAGCGGGGTGATTCGTTTAAGAGTGATCTTCCTCAACGGATTTCACCCGACGACCTTCCCAATACTATATGTTACAGGGATATCGAGCTCTTTTACCTCAGAAACCCAGGTGATGGTCGAGACGTTCTCTGTGCCATCATTGTATTTCGTAATCGTACGGGCCGGCCAGAGGGTGCTGATGGGTAAGTTTTCCCAATTTTTTCAGCAAACTTTAATGTCTACTGACATTGCTGGGACGAAGGACGAAGTTCTTCATGCATGGAGATTATCAATTGGCATACTGTCCAATTGCTCAAATTGTGTCACTAGCCTTCCGCGATGACGCTTTCGAAAATGAGCTGACCCCAGAGTTGATCTGGCGGATTAAGGTTCCGAAGCGTACCAGAGCTCTTCCGCTTCGGTAGAAAAAGGATAAGTTGAACCTTCCCCTACTTCGACGTGTGGTTCGAACTCAGTATGGCTACGGGGTTCATCCGACGCTACCAATGACTTATGACTCGAGCCGGCTGGCACTCAAAGATCTGGGAGAGGATGGAGGATTTGAGGACAACCTAGGTCATTACAACTTCCGACGTTGGACTGCAAACGAAGCCAATCGTAAGTATTTCTGCATGTGACCCTATTGTCCTTCATAGGACCTCTGTGATTCCAAGGGGTATGGGGGCTTTAAATGAATTATTGGATTTGCCTAACGTGCTTGGAACAGGCCACTTTACCAGTCAAGAGCGGAAGAGGGTTCTTGGCCAGTCCGGAGACTTTATTTTTGAAAAGTATTACCAAGCGGAATTTATCCAGCGAGATCTCCAACATGTGGTCCTCCTTCGGCCCCCTCAGGAGGGTCTTTTCAGAGAGCAGCGGCAGCGGGCATGCTTAGGAACAGAGATCCACTGGCCCCTTCAAACATTACTGACGAGCAGCTACGGGCTATTCGTCGACATCCTGAAATTCTGGAACTCAGGCGAGAGAAACGGGAGTTAAAGAAATGCGATCCCTGGCTGGCACCATTCAGGACGCTCGAAATCATTTCCCTGACCTCTGTCAGAGGCATGACGAAATCAGCAGGAAGCTCACCAAGTTAAGGAAGGCCCTACGAGATAATACTCGGCAGACTGCCAGAAAAGATCATTTCCATACGGCACCCGTACTAGAAATCGACAGACAAATCCAGCAACTCTTGGGTAAATCTGGTGCAGAAAATTGTGATACTGACAGTACCAAGGATGGCGATGAAGATTGGCAGCCTCCCATCCCGGATTACGTTTTTCCTGAAAAAGCTCGTCTAGTGGAGTCATTCTACGGTCCGGAGGGGGAGTGTTTTGACGAGGATAGACTACTTGCAAAACGTATCCAAGTTACTGAGGACCTGGTCGCACTCTCGCACCTCTGTGAACCAAATCGTCGGGGCAAACGAGCCAACTGGGATGGGGACGATGAGCAGAGCGAGACATCTGAGGGAAAAGAAGCCTTCCTGTCAGAAGAGAGATCCCCGGAGTGCCTCACGGATGTATGTATCATCTGTTGCGGTATATCCCGCCGCTCACCTTCTAATCCCCATCCACACAAGTTTTCATCAAAAAGGAAGGATTCTCTCCGTCGTCATCTGATCGGTCACCTTATGAACGCACACGACGGAGTACGCTGCACTTGGGAAACTTGCAGCAAACTCCCTACTTTCATCGATATCGTTGAATTTTTAGCACATGCCGCCAATATTCATCACTATGACCTCCATATCAAGCTGGAACGTATTCCCAAGAGACGAAAGCCGTCTTGGGATGAAACACCGTCTTTCAGCAGCTCCAGCATGTCGTTAAGTTCGAGCCGATCGGCCACCGAGACTCCCGCTTCCTCCGTTGATATTGAAATAGGCATCAGGTAATACTACCCTATAATGTCTGAATTACTCCTATGTATTTGCTGCTGCTTCTCATACTCATTGAACTATAAGGCAGAACCAGTCTTTTGTGAAACATCTGGTAGGCCGGTTTCAAAAGTCCATTCGCAGTCATTGTCGTATCCCTGCGCGATTCTCTCAACATCGACGACAGCATCCCACGCCGCCAACGTCCTCCTGTATCTTTCCTCTCCATTATCGACATTGACAGCATCCAGGTCTTCCTGGCGCCCAGCATCGCACTCGCAGCGCAGAACAGACCTCAGCACATCTAACAGTTCACTCCTCCACTCAGGTTGATGGCCCCCAGACAGCCGTGCCGCGACGTACTCAAAGTACGCGGGCATGATGTTGGCCATCTCCCAGTCCAGGAAACCCGTCACCGCGAGTGTGCAGGGGTCCACGAGGATGTTCCGGTCAGACAAGTCCCCATGCGAGAGGACAGGACGGTCCCAATCACCTGCGCCGGTGGTGTCACGCTGTACTCGCTCAAGGACGACTGCACGTTCCGCGTCCGGGGCAGAGGCCTGCAGCGCGCGGACGCGCGAGTCATCCCACTCTGAGCGGGAGGCGCAACATACATACGTCTCTATGCCGAATTCGGAGAAGAGGAGGTACGGCTGCCGCGTGGGCCGGCCGTAGTAAGAGAAGTGGTGCGTACGCATACGCACGAGGAGACGGCAGAGCTCCGCCTTGATGTTCTGGCGCTGCAGAGGGGTGAGTGAGGGCCAGAGCTCGACTAGCGGCGTGCCCGGCTGGTGAGTGAGGACGAGGCCCTGTTGGGTGCGGTTGGGCGTCAAGGCGTCGGTTATTCTCGGAAGCGTGACGACGCAAATGACGCGTGGGACACAGGGGCCCAGGATGGAATGGGCGAGCGCGGTCATCTTGCCTTCGCCATCATCAGTGCCCAGTTTGAGGATGGTAAAGGGAGAATGAATAAAAAACTGGCGTCCAACTTTTGGAACAGTCGGCCCTGAGAACAGAGGGAGGCTGGGGAGAAAGGCCCAGTTCTCCAGAGGAAGCTGCTCTGGTTCCTGAGAGCTCTCGTCATGTAGTGTCATGGTGAGCGGCGATGCGTGGAGAGCAGTCCAGAGTAACAGGCAATATTGAGGGTCTACTTAGTTAAGTAACCTGGTGCTAAAGTGCGATGTCCTCTAGATAATTGATTGATATCTACCTATGCGACCCCTAATGGTAGATATAGCCGAGTCCACCGGACCGGGAGTTTGGGAAGAAAAAAAGATTTGGGAGCAAACGAGGTCAGAATAGTGAGGGAGGGCTCTTTTATATTGGGAAGCCAGGCGGGCGGTGTTTACAATACGGCGTATCAGGAGGCTATACCATAAACGGCAAAACTAACCGGAAGAGGGAATTCACAGGTCCTTGTTTTACATTTGCAATATAACCTGTATTCCTATCCGCGCCGAAGAAAGTCTCACTGGTATATTTTATTTGCTTAATTTGTTGACTCCGTTCTGAGACTTCCCTGAGTGTGACATCCTGAAACCAGGGAACTTCCCAGTGCGGAGGAACGTTCCTCCCGAACGTTCCTCCGCACCGGTAAACTCCCTGATTTCAGGAGGTCACAACACTGAGGACCAGTAGATCGGCGGATACCCGACTATAGAGTAATTTTTTTTTAGTTTAAGCTGGATACTACTATGCTAGACTCGGAAGGCCGCTATATTATCTTAAAATTTTTAGTTTTTGTCTTTATCGGAACTTATTATCTGGCTAATTGGAATAAAATTTGTAATTTCTTTTAATACAGCTTTCTGGATCTGTTCGATGCGCGCATCCAGAATCTAGTAACAATAGGCAAGCGCATTTTTGTTACAGATAATATTAATATCTCTAGAGAGGAGATTAACGCAGCACATACAACTGAAACTATTCAGAAAGATACGATAACAGACAATAAATTTGTATTTATGCTTGCGTGTTAGCTGTTCAATCAACTGCTGATCAACAGAAAAGTAATCAGTCCTTGTAACAATAACTGAAAGTAATTTATTTTGCACGATACCTATCGCTCGTTCTACTCTGATTAACGGGGCATGTCCAGGAACCTTCCGGTATGTTGCCAGGAACCTCTCAGTAGGTTGCTAGGAACCTCTCGGTATCTGCAGATACGTGACTCTGTCACTGATCCACAGAGTAGTATATGTAGTAGCTAGTTTCCCGCAGAATTCGCTGCCTTCCATGCAGCTTATTCCTCGTTAATACATACCTATCTTCACGGTTTTGTGCCTTACAGCATGTACATATGCTAAGAGCAGCGGATCAATGCGCAGTCAAAAAATTATAGATCGAGGATCGACTACATTCTGTTCAGTCTGGACATACAGGAGTGATTCTGCAATTCGAATATCCAAGAAAGGCTGATAGTAGGTTCTCATCTAACATTAGCTTTTAATCTGGCTAACAATAGTGTGACCTCCTGGAATCAGTGAGTTTACCGGTGCGGAGGAACGTTCTGGTTAGTTAGTATAGGATCTAGGGACCCTCCGGTAGGCATCCAGGAACCTTCCTGGATGCTCTGCAGGCATTCCTGCTTGAGGCAGAGCCTCGGGCAGTATATAGAGCCCCTACATCCTCCCTCCTAGGTAGCCTTTCCTCTCCATGGGAAAATTCCTTGACTACGAGTCATAAACAAACTTGTCTTATATCAAGCTCCTTTGTAGACCGTCACAAATAGTAACTAGAGATCTGATTATTGTCCAGTCTACGTTATCTTCAAAGATTCCGTCTCTTACGAAAACATTAATATTAATATCTGTAACTTTATGAATCTCTCAGGCGTATTCTATTACGGAAAACGTTAAAGCAAATATATTATTAAGTTTTTTTTCCCTCTCTCTAGGTAACTGATCCCAGAATTCTATAAACGATAAAGTATCAAAAATATATTTACGCAAAAATCTAATGTGGTCCTAAAACCTATTACACTACCAATATTAGCTATATCTACTAAATCTTCTAATAATATTCCTACAATCTCATTACCTGACCAGCTCTAAAAGGCACTAAAAGATATTATTTACAAATATACTAACAGATCTGATCTCTCTCTGCCTATCAAATGTACTAAGTCTATTTTCCCGTTTACGCCCGCATTATTTATTACAGGCTAGAAAACCTTTAAAGATTTCTTTAAACTGAAATCAGATCCCTTTGATTCGACTAAATTTAAGCTTATATCTAATATATCTTATCTCTTTCTACTTAAATCCTGTAGAATATTGTCGGTTGACTTGGTCATTGCCCTAAGCAGATATCCTATCGATTCAACTGAATATAGGTATATGCTCGGTGGGTAAAAGTGAAGTGTCATTTCTAAACTACAATCTGCCTAGCTATTTGTAGTTCCACTTGTTTACACCTATGCATTCCTGATCCCTTGGTATGCCATTTGGAATGGTAGGCCAAGTCTAGGCCAAGCAAGGTGCTGTGCGGTATGTGGATTTAGGTCAAGATACTCTACCTCTCTGGTCTGGTTGATAACATCGTTCCAACAAATGTATTGCTGTTATTATTGATAGTGTTAGTATTGTAGATAAGTAAATGAATGTAATATCTGAATAATATATATAAAGATATAATTATAATCTATAGTAAAATATATTTAAATAATATAGATCTCGCTTTCAGCTAGAGAAGGAAAAAGGTAAATACCCAAAAAATAGCAAGTTTTATTTACATGCCACTAACACAAGTTAATATAGATACCTAATAATCTCCCTCCTTCAAGCTAAACAAACCAAATAACCTAAGAAAGAAATAATAAAATCTCACAATATAATACCGGGGTTCCCCTCTCCAGCTACCCTAATTCGCACGTAGTATTCTGCAAACCGAAAGAAAGTGCGATTCCGAAAAGCTTAGTTTGATCAATTCGGTATGACATGCAGGGAATTTATTTTTCTATATATATTGTTCTATTATAGAAGTGGTTGTGCTTATCCAGATACTTTAAACACGTGGCACAGAATATGTTGTACATTGGATCAGATTCGGGCTCGAGGTACGATCCTGTTGGAATTCGAGGTGTTGGAAGCAGTATTAAAGATTGAAAACTTATGAAATCAAGTATGGTTATTCTAATGATCATCTAACTACATAGAAAGAGGCCTTATCTATATGCGAAATGCAGTGATCAGAATGGAGGAATCCTCCGGTTCGATTGCAGGAACTCGCCGGCAGGAAGATGGAATCTCCCGGATTCATGCGAATACCGGGATCTTCCACAGATCCCACCTATTTTCCCCTATTCCTATACTCCCGCGACTAGAATAATAAGTGCAATTTCATTCTGTAGCTAAATATATTGGACGGTAGATGTACCAGAATAGAATAAAATAAGCCGCAATTTAGACTGTCTGATTGACTAACCACTACTTCTATACGTTTGTGGTTGATGATAAACTGGTCTTACATAGTTATAAAATGCCAGTGTCTTAAAAAAGAAAACCCCCGTTTAACCAAATGAGGATCGAGAATAAACAAGAAATAAAAGACTGTAGACTATTAAAACTGACGTTTTGTCACTATTGATTGCCAGATCATAACTGTCATAAAATATAAAGGGGAATAGGCACCGTACTTGCAGAAGAAAACGAGAAAAAACAAAAGGAAAAAAAGAAGGCCGTAAAAATATTCGTAAAACACCGTCCTGAGCATTAGGCGAGTGTTTATGCAAAAATTAATATATGTACAAAAGAATGCGAAAAAAAGTTAACCGGATACCGTAAAAGAGAAATACTAGAAAGAGAAAAGGACTAGAAGAGACCATTTCGAAGACTGCAAGAAGATCTTTACAGCTCAAACAATACACACCCGCTATGATCAATAGTAGTCAGTCACCAAGTCTGAGAAATCAAAGTTCTCAGAAAAAGGATTAGTCCGGCTATAGTCTTCCTGCACCTGCTGAAACAGGGTATCGAAGGCCTCGTAGTCGAACTCGAACGGCTGTTCCGGCATAAGCATATCGATGCCAGCGAGACTGTCGTCCGCAGGCAAAGGTGTGGCCATAGTCATCTCTATCTCAGTATATTTTCCGGGAGTCGAAACGTCTGACGCTTCGTTAGTCGACATAGGAGACTTGAGGGATTTAGTGGATAGGCTGGTCTTCCTGTATTGACGCGACGAGACTCGGCGTTTTCTTTCGGAGGGCTTGCGAGGGGAGTAGTGGTAGTCCGGGTACTCTTCGGCATGTTTTCGTTTCAGGTCTTCAGCTTGCTGACGGAATTGCATCTTTACTTTTTCGTCTTCGGCTTTCCACTGTTTGCCTAGAATCACAGCTAGTACCATTAGCAAACTGCCATCAAGTTAAGTGAACAGAAATCAGCTTACATATTTCGTTGTTGGAAAAGGCAGGGTATGCTTCCTTGACTTTCGGGTGATGATACTGACGGTACAGGATAAACGCATTTAGAGGCCGAGGAACTTTAGCCGGTTTCGCATGTATACCCGTTTTTCCTGGCACGTTAGTGACAGGTGCAATCTTTTCGTGCTCAGATTTCAGTGTTCTATCATGACAGGCAACCGATATCGCGGTTCCCGAAAAAGCCGGAATGCGCATAATGCGAAGAGCCTTGATAGACTCATCAACAAAAGCAACAACGGGGGCGCCAATGAGAGCACTGTCGTATTGATTAGTTTCTTCTATTATTATAATTATCAGAATTATCCTTGTGTAGACCTACCCGAGACGAGCCTTAATTTTGTCGACGTTGCATTGGCCGATCAAGTCGGTGATGTTGACGGGAAGAAGGACCTCATTGTTGGTAGACTGGAGATTCCCCAAAGCATCTTGCCAAAGGAGCTCTGTCAGCTTGTCGGTAGATTCAACTTCTGACTTCATGGCGATAGGAACAGCAGCCATTGTAGATTTTGTAAAACAGAATATTGATTTGGAAGGTATGGGGAGAGAGAAGTTGAAAGTTATATTCAAGCAGGAAAGGTTTGGGAATGAAAGAAGAGACAGGGGCGGAGGGTTGAGAAGAAAGTAGCTTAAAGACAGTGTCTCGAACGTCAGGGTCTCAGAATTAGAATGGGTGTTAAGTCCCGAGGGGACAACACCAGTGAATCGGCGGTTCAATAGGATGTGGGAGGCTGGTACCTTTCTTGGTTTACCTAGACAGGCGTAGTGAATTTCCAGAAAACTCGACCATATGGACTTTGAAATTGCTCACTGATCTATTCACTAGATATAACGCAGCTCTTCTGTGGCTCACTATCCACTTACAATCTCTCTATTTTACCTTCCATAAACGCTTCGTCCATTCAACTTTGTCTATAATGTGATAACCTCAGGAATGAAGAAATGATCTTTATTGTAGGCTAGTTACGAAACACTAGGTTGAGGAAAGAAGAAGAAGAAAACAGCGATTTACTGCATGAAGCAGTAAACAAACCCACTATGTGAGACAAATGAATCAAACAGTGCAAACTATGCAAACACCCTGCCCCCTGGTATAGGCGTTGCTGCATGCTCAGGACGTTACAGTTTCTTTATTCTTGTTCTCACTCTTCGCGCGATAAATTTTATCTCGTTTCTAAAATGCTTTTCTGTTCTTTAATACCGTCAAGTAAAGATATCGTTACAGTACTGTTTCTTCTATACAAGCTGTTTGGAGCGATATTATTTGAGTTCAAAAATCAGTACAAACGATAAAGCGATCTATTTAAAATGGCAGTCCCGCTAAACGAAGACTGAAAGACTCGATCTGGGGAGATTGTTTTTTACTGTTCTGTTCTTTCGTCGAGGTCTTTCGGAGATTAAGACTTCTGGTTTTTCTGGGGAGGCAATTTTCATTACGGGAGTTTGTCTCTATCTGGGAAGGAGTTTGACTGGGAGGTTTAAAAAGAAGAATGTATTTCGGGGTACTATTTACTGCGTTACTGTTTCTGTTTTCTACTTTCTATTTTCTATATGTGGACACCCAGAATGGGATTTTTTCAAAGATGCCACTTTACATACCATAGAAGAGAGGATGAAGCTCGTAAGGACATATACAGAGCTAACATATCTGAAATGTTGATCAGAAAAATAAATATTAAAAAAGAAGGAAATATATCTATCTAACTCACATCAAACCAATTCAAAAGAGAAAAAAAATTTTTTTACATAAATGATCTTCCTCCTTGGTGTGGACGGTCTACAAAGGAGCTTGGTATAAGACAAGTTTGTTTCTGACTCTGAGTCAAGGAATTTTCCCATGGGGAAGAAAGGCTATCTAGAAGGGAGGATGTAGAGGCTCTATATACTGCCCGAGGCTTCGCCTCAGGCAGGAATGCCTGCAGAGCATCCAGGAAGGTTCCTGGATGCCTACCGGAGGGTCCCTCGATCCTATACTAACTAACCAGAACGTTCCTCCGCACCGGGAAGTTCCCTGATTTCAGGAGGTCACACTTGGCTCTTCTTTAACTCTTTTATCTGTCTTAGCTTCTGACTACTCTTACGGACTTGATAGTTAAACTCGACTGGCTGACAAACTCACGATACAATGCTGGAAACCTGGATATAACTGGGAATGACTAAGGTTGCGCTGAACGGTATAAGTAAACTTTCTTTATATCTTACTTTTATTTTCGTTTCCGTCTTTTGTATGTGTTGACGAATTTTGCCTTATCCCGTTCTTGTCGATTGGATGCTGGATATTAGAGGGATACATTATATAGTTTCTATTGAACTTTCTGTTATCCTGTATTCGCTTGTCTTTTATCTGCATTTCTGTTCTCGAACAGGCAAATCAAAAGAATAAACCAGCAAAAAAGAAACTTGTATCTGAACTTCAGAATTAGAATAAGAAGGATAAATTCTTTTTATCTCTTTTTACGTTCCTTTCTCTCTTTCGTAAGCGGATCAGCACATAAGTTAGAATCTTTTACAAGTAACTAAACTGACTTCTTTCTTTTTAGATCCTAGAAATATATCTCCTCGATTAAAAAGCTAGACAGGGTCCTGCTATTTATGCCATTCTATCTTATCCTATCCAATACTGCATATCCTAAACAACCAGCGAAACAAACATCCAGATCAAGCAGAAAACAAACCAATAAACACAGACCCGTCTACGGCAAGCGATAGCGGCCAGTGTCACGGGCCGAGTGGTGGGTGCGCTTCCGCCACCTAATACCGTCTAGTTCAGGCCCACAGGTGGGACGGTTGCCCACTGAGCTACCTAAAAGACTAGAATACCAAGTCTGTTGATTTGGTACGCGCATCGCTCTATATAGTGGTTCTTGGTCGTTCGTCACAGCCAGTCCGCAACAAAAAAAGAAATCGCATAAAATCGCATAAAATCGCTTGAAAAATGGGTGTCCCTTCATCGCTTATTCGACCGCCTACTATAAGCAGTATAGTAGGCACTAAAAAGACCAATATAAAGTTCCATAGGATCCTATTTTCCAACCCGCCATATATAGTACTATACAAATTTGGACCAAATGTGACCTCCTGAAATCAGGGAACTTTCTGGTGTGGAAGAAGGTTCCGGAGGAACGTTCCGGTTAGTTAGTATAGGATCTAGGGACCCTCCGGTAGGCATCCAGGAACCTTCCAGGATGCTCTGCAGGCCTTCCTGCTTGAGGCAGAGCCTCGGGCAGTATATAGAGCCCCTACATCCTCCCTCCTAGGTAGCCTTTCCTCTCCATGGGAAAATTCCTTGACTCAGAGTCAGAAACAAACTTGTCTTATATTGAGCTCTTTTGTAGACCGTCACACCAAACACACTCACTAACGATCTTTCTCTGTTGAAAGTAATCGTGCTCAACTTATAAAATGAAGGACAGTGGATAGTCCATTCTATAAGTTAAAAAGACTAACATAGAATCTCTACGGGATTCTACTATCTAACCTGTTATATGTAGTATTATACTACGTTAGGCGAGCTCACCCGCTGTAAATCTAACAGCGTCTAATAATGCAACTATATTTATATAAATTCAAGTTATCTTACTTATTAAATCATTATAATCACTAAATAAGCTTATTAAAATTAAAATAACTATATTAATTATACCGTATATATTATACAGTTTACATTTAGTATCTGCACTGCGACCGCGGCCCGCGCGTAGGTCGTCGTACGCAGAACGCTAAACGTAAGTGACTGAAAGAAATATTAAATATAGGAGCTTTACCTGACTTTATATAGTTTTATATATAATATTCTAGGTAGTAGAGCTCTATATAGTTTCTATATTAGTCTTTTTGGCTCTTGGTAGTGATCAAGATTGCCTTCTGCCGGCAGAATTTACGAAATTTTTTTTTTGTTGCGGACTGGCCGCTATCGCTTGCCGTAGATTATCCGCCATAAAAAAAAAGAAAAAAAGAAAAAAAAAAAAAGTTGCGCTACAAAACAACATTGGATTTCTTCATCCTCTTCATAACCCAAAGTTAAGAGCGTCATGGTAAGTTGTCTCAAATTCTTCAGATCTTACGGATAATCTACATCTTCCTTGATCTTCTCTAACTTGCGTCTCAGAAAATCAAAGCTCTTTCTCGTCCTACGTCCTCGCAACAGGCCCCGGGGTCTTCTGTCGTTCGACAGTCCCGAAACCTAGACCCTACCGCGCATCCATTCGAACGTGCTCGAGAGTATACGCGAGCGCTCAATGCTACGAAGCTCGAGCGTCTCTTCGCTGCGCCCTTCCTGGGACAGATGGGCGACGGTCATGTGGACGGAGTGTACTCCATGGCCAAAGACCCCGGCAGTCTTGAGCGATTCGCCAGTGGTAGTGGCGACGGCGTGGTCAAGGTCTGGGATTTGACCACCAAGGGCGAAGTCTGGAATACACAGGCCCACGAAAACATCGTCAAGGGCGTCTGTTGGACACCGGAGCGGAAACTCTTGTCTTGTGCAAGTGACAAGACCGTCAAGCTGTGGGATCCGTACAATTCTGCATCGGACTCTCCCCCGCGTGCGACATATCTGGGCCAGGGCCCTTTCACTAGCGTTACGCACCACAGGAACCATCCCTCTTTCGCCGTCGCGTCTTCGCAGATCTCCATCTACGATCTTTCTCGGCCTTCCTCGACGCCCTCGCAGGTCCTTCACTGGCCCACTAACATCGACACCATCACCTCGGTTGCCTTCAACCAGACGGAGACCTCGATCCTGGCGTCGACCGGCATGGACCGCTCTGTCATTATGTACGATCTCCGAACCAACTCGCCGCTCAGCAAGGTTGTCCTCAAGCTGGCCTCGAACGCGATTTCGTGGAACCCCATGGAAGCATTCAACTTCGCCGTGGCCAACGAGGACCACAACGCCTACATTTTCGATATGCGAAAGATGGACCGCGCCCTAAACGTGCTGAAGGACCACGTTGCGGCGGTCATGGATGTGGAATTCAGTCCAACTGGTGAGGACCTCGTGACGGCGTCCTACGATCGAACCGTCCGTCTGTGGAAGCGGGCCGAAGGCCACTCGCGTGATATTTACCACACTCAGAGAATGCAGCGGTATGTACCCCACTTGAGTTCCCTTCTAGCCCAATTGATTATTCTGACCCGCCTGATGCAGCGTTTTCTCCGCCAAATTCACGCCCGATAACAAATACATTCTCTCCGGCTCGGACGATGGCAACATCCGACTGTGGCGCACCAACGCCTCGGATCGCAGCGGAATCAAGAGTGCCCGTCAGCGATCGAAGCTCGAATATGACCAGGCTCTGATCCAGAGATACTCGCACATGCCCGAGATTAAGAGAATCCGCCGCCAGCGTCATGTGCCCCGAACCATCAAGAAGGCCCGTGAGATCAAGAGAGAGGAGCTTATGGCTATCAAGAGACGTGAGGAGAACGTGCGGAAGCATACTAAGAAGGATGCTTTGCCGAAGAGACGCAGCGAGCGTGAAAAGATGATCCTGACCAACGAGAAATAGAGGGGTCTCGACCTGCCCCGGGGGCCAATACCTTCTTGCCTTATCTCTGGGTCAAGGTTCTCGCAAAGGCACGATCCTACATTCAAGGAACGATCAAAGAAAGAAGCAAAGCGAAGTCGTTCTAAGGCATTTCACATATATACATACGTCGCTCCGATACGTTCCATACACATGGGGGGCAGGTCCCGCATGAAAAGTTTTGAATCCAACTATTTGACTGCCGACTGGCCGCATCAGGCAGTTTGCGATGGCCCCGCTACTTTGTCTGACCCTGCAACGGACGACTCTTGTGCAACCGCATGGTCGATGCCGCTCAGAAACCGGGCAAATCGCTGCAGACTGACCGGCAACACCGCATACCAATTGACTAGCGACGCGAAGGTGGGCATTCGAATCACACCCGCACGACCTTTGTCAATTGCCGACACGATTTCCTGAGCAACGTGCACCGGTTCGAGCACGGGCGCAAAGAAACTATTCGGTGTTTGAACGGACTGAAATAGCGGCGTGGCTATCTGCCCCGTCTCGACCAGGACTAATTTCACCTTCTTATTGTCTCCCGACCTACGAAGCTCGGCCTCCAGTGTACGGTGGAGCGCGCTCAGACCAGCCTTGCTCACAGAATAATCGGCGAGACCGGCAGCGCACAGCTGACCTAGCACGGAGCTCACGTTCACCACGGTGCCCCCGGACGGGTTGGCCAACATGCGCGGCACGAACACTTGGCAGGTATGGAACACGGCGAGCAGATTCGTCTGGATGGTTTTCTGGAAGGCGTCGGCCGACAGGGACAGCAGCGACTGGCCATTAATACGCGCTGCGGCGCAATTGACCAGCACCGTAGGCGGACCCAGCTAGAAAGTCAGAGCTCGTTAGCATGTCATCAATTCCAGTTATCTGCCCATTCTCAATAGAAAAGTCCTCACAACAACCGTAGTAACCCCCAAATTTTTCAAGATGAAAAATAAAAGGGGGGGGGGGGGAGACAAACCTCCGCTTCAATCCTCCTCGCGACCCCCTCCACCTCCTCCCTCACCCCAATATCGCACCGATAATAATCCACCCCAGGACACTCCTCCCAAGAACCCTTCAACTCCTGTTCATCCTTGACATCCAAAACTGCCACACTCGCACCCTTCAGCCCATACACCCTCGCAATCAACAACCCCAACCCGCTCGCCCCGCCCGTCACGACGACGACCTCGTTGCTCGGATCCACGGTCCGCGGGCCCCCGTACGCGACGCGCCGGTTGAGGAACCGCAAGGCGGCCAGAACGGTCAGGACAGTGGCGTAGCCTGTCGCGATCAGAAAGGCCGGGTCTGTGTAGGGGGTTACTTGGGCGCGGAGACAGATGACGAGGACCCATGCGATCCAGGGGTGGAGGAGGGTGCGGTTGAGGACGCGGAGGAGAAGGTCGAGGGTGAAGGCGTCGTAGTGGGAGTCCGGTTGGAGGGGAGGGGATTTGGATTTGGAATTGGACATGGTGGTGGAGGTACTATTGTGTCGTTGAGGGGGAGGGGTGAAGACTATTCATGGTAGATAGAAATTGGATGGTTAAGAATGAAGAGCTTGGGGAGAAACTAGGGAGCCCATCGGCGCTTAGAGCTGGAGGATAAACCGGTGGGGCGGCACAAACATGCGGAGTTACCTTCATCTACCATTCCATTCCACTTCAACACCATAACTAAGTTATCAACATGCCTCCGCCCACTCTGTCTCCCCTGAGATCCATCCACAATGTCCGACTAGCTTCCTCGGACCCCAATCTCGATTCCACCTGGGACGTCACCTTCGATCCCAGCCATTCCATCTCAATCACTCCCTCCACCACCACCGAGAATAACAACAACAATGATAACCCACTGGCCCTTCCCACCCTAACACATCCCCACATCCACCTCGACAAAGCCTTTGTGCACAGCGCCCTCCCCACCGCATCGCATCTCCCCTCCACCGGCTCATTCCAAGAAGCCCTGTCCCTGACCGCACAAGCAAAGGCCCAATTCCACCGCGCGGACCTGCTACAACGCGGCGAATGGTTGCTCGCCGAGTCTGTCGCCTCGGGCGTCACGACCATGAGAGCTTTCGTGGAAGTCGATCAAACGGTGGGACTGGCCTGTTTGGACGCCGGGGTGGAGTTGCAAACACGCTGGGAAGCCGCCTGTCGGATCCAGCTGGTCTGCTTTGCCCAGGACCCGATCTTCTCGGGCGAGGCCGGCGACGGAAATCGTGCGCTGCTGGAGGAGGCGCTGGCCCGGTATCCCTGTGTAGATGTTATCGGGACAACGCCGTACGTGGAGGCGAGTGGGGAGGCGGCGAGGCGGAATATCGACTGGGCGGTGACGCAGGCCTTGCGGTTGGACAAGCATGTGGATTTCCATCTGGATTATAATCTAGATTGCGAGAGGGAGGCCCTCGTATGGTATGTCTTGGATGCGCTGCGGAGGAATCGGTGGACGGCCAGCACGACCGACAAACGGGTGATGCTGGGCCACTGTACGCGATTGACGCTGTTTGGCCATGAGGAATGGAGCCGACTGGCGGAGGAGATCCGTCGGCACGATCTCCCCGTGAGCTTTGTCGGATTGCCGACGAGCGATCTGTATATGGCTGCGCCGCCTGATGGTGAGAGTGATGGTCCAAGCAATGGCCGGCCAAGGGGTACCCTGCCAGTCCCCGAGATGATCCGCAAGTACAACCTGGACGCCGTGATGGGGGTGAATAATGTAGGCAATGCATTTACGCCGTGGGGGTCGCCGGATCCATTGTCGCTAGCTTGCCTGGGGGTGGGGGTTTATCAGGCAGGCACGCAGGCGGACGCGACATTACTGTATGAGTGCGTCTCAACGCGAGCCCGCGCGGCCATTGGCCTGTCGTCGTCTGAATTGGCCCTGAAAGATGGCGACCCTGACGATATTTTGTTGCTCTACAGTGTAGATGATACCGGCTGCGGAGTGTCCAGGCCACGAACACGAGTTGCGGATGTCGTATGGGATCCACCCGCCCGAGTGAGCAGGAGCATTGTCACAAGAGGCTCCCTGAAGAGAGCGCCTGCCTCTTTGTGTCCTGAGACATCGTATGAGTATCTCGCGACGTAGAGGTGTAAGTGAAAGCCAGCTCAATCCAATGACTTCAATTCAATGTAAGTCTGGTCTTTACCCAATCGAATGTAACATCTAGCTATGTCGGAGGCGATGTACGATGGGAAACAAGGGATGACCGAAGAGATCTTCTCTAATACGCATGAAACTCAGAATCTAAATAAAGAATCCAAAAAAGGGGAGTCAAGAGAGACCGCACCATCGTAAACTCCCGCTCAGTATCAACGCCACAAGCATCTAGGGAATAGTCGTCTGGTAAACTAAACATGAAACACTCATCTAAGATTCGTATAAGAACCAAGAGCATGAGGTCAACTGCCCCAGGTAGGTGCGATCCCATTCACCTTGGCTTGAGCCTGGGCGGGACCATGCAGCATGTAGCTAAACGTGGCACAATGAGGGTCTTCGCGCATAATGTCGAGGTCGTCCGCGTTCATTGGGAGCCGGACACCATTCCCGGCACGCGGATACAGGCGATGTTCCTCGACCTCGTACTCCGAGTCACCATCCGAAGACTCGTCGATGTACTCTTTACGGGGACCAGACATGGATGGAGCAATGTCTTCTCCAGCTCCTGACGTCGAATTCGCCGAGTTGGTCAGGGCCGGAGTGGTCGACGGAACAGAGAGGGGTGTGGAGGCTGTTGATAGATTAGGTTGGAAAGAAAACTTCGACGATGAAAGTCTTTTCAGGTCCTCTGGGAACATTGGAAGGGTCGGATGAGTACTGGATAAGGTGACGAGCAGCTCGACGAGAGCAGCATGTGACAAAGTCGACAAGAAGTTGCGTCGTTCGTCTGTGGAAAAGCCTTCGCCACCGGTTTCTAACCTGGGTACTGCCAGCGGAAGATGATTTTGAAGACTGAACGATGGCCCGCTGAGACTAGGATTGCTGCGGACCACGGTAGGCTGCGTAATGGTTATCTTGACGGGCTTACACTCCCGACAGTGCCATTCCTTCTCCTTGACCGTGACGAACTCGGTTTCGATCGGAGGATCATGGCATAGCTGATGCCACGCCTGGTTGCATAGATCGCAGAAAACGATCACATTGCTCATCGGACTATGGCCTCGCTGGCAATGCATGCAATTGATATTGATATCCTTTCCCTTTTGACTCGCCCGCTTGCGTTTGCGAGCAGCCGTGGCTGAAGCCGGAGTGGCCAACGAGCCACTGCTTGTCTTGGCCGCCACTGGCGAGGGCGCCGCAGGAACATAGAGCGAGGGTCGGTTCACCTGTCGACCGGATTTCGTCTGCGTAGCCGCCGGTGTTATATCGGATTCATCCGAGCTGGAGTCGCCGGCTCGGATGATATCTTCACTGCCTCGTCTGCGCTTCTTGGTGCGTTTGACCCCGTTTATAGATGTCGTGCTTTTGCGTTGACGAGAGTCGGCTACTGGTCTTTTTAGTTTAGTTAAGGAGGTAGGCGAGGACGTAGCTTTGGCTGCCGGGATTGCTGGATCCGTTGGATCCGTTGGACCCGCGGGAGCCATGGGCTGCGACGGCACCTGCGGCGGCACTGGGGGTTGAGTTGCGGCCACTGGACCAGCAGAAGGCGGACCCGAAGGTCTCGGAGCAATGGCCATGAGATGCGCCGGGTTTCCATGATTCTCCTGGGGAAGCGTCGAGGCACTTGGACTCGGGGCCTGTTGGGAAGCAGCAGGCGCCTTCGAGGTCATATGACTTGAGTAGACGAACGGCGCCGTTGGCAGTTCTATGATGGTGGAAGAGGCCCTCATCTTGCTGGCGGGCTGCATACAGCGGAAATTGTGCAAACCTTGACTGAAGGATGAATTTGTCCACCTGATAGGGTTTGTTTCATTTCCTGGCCGCTGCGGCGGCGGTGACGGCTGTTGCTGCTGTTCTCGTCTGATATTGCCGGCGACCCGGGCAAGGAGCTCGGTGGTCGCCGCGGATAATTTCGGGATATGTACTTTACTGGAGGAAAAGGAGGAGGTACTGGATGGCCGCTGTTCGGGATGCGACGAAATGGACACCGAGGACGAGTCAATACTGGGAGCCGACGGTTGCGAACCGGAGGTGGTTGGTGGCGTTGTCTCTATAGACGCCAGGGAGGAAGAAACCCCATGTTGTGATGACATGCCCCCGATCAGGCCAGAGAAACACACGCGCACTGTCTATGGGTGTGTGCTAGGGTGAGGTGGTGAAATCAAAGTGAGAGAACAACCCGGGGTTTAGTTGTTGTTGTCGCTATCCAAGGGAGGAGGCCATTTGGTGGTGAACCGACCCAAAGATCGTTTTATACTGTCACGTGATGGTCTCCATTCCTGACTGAAGATTCTCTCAAGGCAAATGCGATTTTTCTTATATGCGTCTTCTTTGAAGTCTATTTCTTTGGTCTTTTCTCTCTATTGTAGGTCTTTATTGAGCCCCTGTGAATCCCTTCACGGACTCATTTACGCCTCACATCTCCACATCATCCACCATGTCGCATGCTACGAGAGCACCCCCTCCTGCTTCAATTGGGCAATCTTCTCTGCCTTATACTGGAGTACCTCTCCGAGAATCTCATCCGTATGCTGTCCTAGAGTTGGGGGTGGCGTCCGGACGCCAGGGGTCGCATGGGAGTATTTAATAGGTGTGTTCACCAACTTGATGGGACCACACGCCGGATGGTCCACTTCTGTAACCATTCCACGAGCTTGGACTATTGGCAGCATCAGTATTTCTGTAATGGAATCGATATTCAGACTTCCAAATTGAAGGGCGAAAGCTCACCATGAGAATGGTTTAATGTCCCTTGGATATCGTTTACCGCGGCATAGGGCATCCCGCTGCCTTCCAGGATCTCCAACCACTCCTGAGTGGTCTTCTGCTTGGCCCTCTCCTCGATGAGGCCATCGATCTCTTTTCGATGTTTGACTCGGTCGCTGTTGGTGATGAAGCGAGGGTCGGTCTTCCACCCGGGATATCCAAGGCGATCGCACAGCACCCCAAAGAGCTTATCATTTCCTCCTCCGAAGAGGATGTCTCCGTCGCGGGTTTGGTAGCTTCGATAGGGGACGATAGATGCTGAGAAAGGGTTAAAACACATGGCTATTCCGCCTTCGAGACCCGAACGACTTACGATGCGCGGTCCCCCACCTCCCTGAATCCTTCTGCCCGCTGATCAGAGCGGAACTGGCGATATTTGCCAAGGTTGCAACCTGACAGTCGCTTAAACACGCATCAATGTGCTGTCCCTTTCCAGTCCTGACCCGGGCCAACAAAGCCGCCATGATCGCATTGGACGTATACAGCCCCGTCGTCAAATCCGTGACCGCGACACCCACCTTGACTGGGTCGCCGTCCCGGGCGCCGGTGATGTGCATCAAGCCCATCTCAGCTTCCACCATGACGTCGTAACCGGCGCGGTTACTGTACGGACCCGTCTGGCCGTAGCCGGTGATACTGGCATATATCAGCTTGGGGTTGATTTCCCGAAGCGTCTCGTAGTCCATGTTGTATTTCTTGAGTCCCCCGGGTAGGTAGTTCTCAACTAGCACGTCGCATTCTTTCACCAGCCGGTGTAGGATCTCGACTCCGGACTTGTGCGCAAAGGAGAGGCCGATGGATTTTTTATTCCGATTGACCTGTGTCACCTATCAGCACTGCATCCGTACAAGGCTTAGTAGGGGTCTTCTATACCGCAAGATAATAAGCACTCTCTCCAGGACCCTCCGACCCATCCTCGTACTTTGCATAGGGCGGGCCCCAGGCGCGAGTATCGTCGCCGCGAGTTGGATGTTCCACTTTGATTACATCTGCTCTAATTGCCAAACCATCAAAGTCAGTATGGATCCATGAAAAGGCTAGTCAATTGCAATGCATACCCCAGGTCTCCGAGAATCTGAGTACAGTATGGCTATAGTGCAAGCGAGCAATCAGTACATGGATACACCGCCCAGTTCATCAGGCTCGGGTCACCTACACCAGCCAATACTCTCGTCATATCCAGAACTCGGACCCCCGATAAGGGTAGGGTATCATTCGACGGCGTGGAGTAGGAGCGCCATTGCGGCGTGCGCCGAACAACGTGGAGAGCCGACGGACGAGCGACGACAGCGCGGTACAACTTCAAAAGGCCATGCATTGTGATCGCAATCGAGAATCAAACATTGAAACCAGGAAGAGGAAAACCAAACAACAAAGACCAATTATCGAGATATTTATGGGGAGAAATATGGGAGTATATACAAGAAGGCAAGGGAGCAAAGTAGGTCCTTGTCATTCGGCACGATCGCCGACGGAAGTTCCCACGGCAAAGCCGAGGTGCAGCCATCGCTTTCCCGCTCTTCCCCCTTCTCATCCCCCTCCACTTCCGCCTTTCCCATATAATCTTTCGGCTCGCCATCATGTTTACCGGTCTGGTTGAGACGATCGGGAGTGAGTGTTTCTCCCCCGCTCGGAATTGAAAAATGCCTTGGGACTCGCGCTGATCGAGCTCTTTCTCTGTGCTTTGCTTCTAGCTGTGTCCTCCCTGGAACCCCTCGATACCTCGTCTAGTGGGGGTGGGGGCACCTCGTTGACCATCTCCAACTGCGCCGAAATCCTCACAGATGTGCATCTGGGAGATAGTATTAGTGTAAATGGTATGCAGACAATGACTTGACTTGATTTGTTCCTCCTCCTTCTGTCTTAGATTCTGTCGTGATTCTTTTCTCTCTGTCGTGCGTGGAGTGAACCGAGAGAAAAGAGACCGGCGGAATTATGGCAGACCGAATGACGATGAAGGGGGAAAAAAAGCCTTGAAATTACTCGCAACAAAAACTTAAACATCTGCTCCTCTCAAGGAACCTGCCTCACGGTCACGACCTTCGACACCGACAAGACCTGGTTCAAGGTCGGCGTCGCGCCCGAAACCCTCCGCCGCACGAATCTCGGATCCCTACGGACGAACTCCCGCGTGAACCTCGAGCGCGCCGTGCTAGGTGAAACCCGCATGGGCGGACATTTCGTGCAGGGCCACGTCGACACCATCGCTACGGTGCTCTCCGTCACGCCGGACCAGAATGCCCTGGTCTTCCGCCTGCGGCCGCGCGAGCTGCAGGTCATGCGGTACATCGTCGAGAAGGGCTACGTGACGCTGGACGGTGCCAGTCTGACCGTCACCAAGGTGATGGATGGCCCCGAGGGGTACTTCGAGGTGATGCTCATCGCCTATACCCAGGAGAAGATCGTCACGGCGGCCAAGAAGCCCGGGGACGATGTGAATGTGGAGATTGACATTGTAGGCAAGTACGTGGAGAAGAGTGTCGAGGGATACTTTGCCGGGACGGCCGGCGGAGATATGAGCATCTTGGAAAAGATGGTGTCTCGGATCGTGGATGAGAAGCTGAAGCGGTGATGCTGGAGAAATACATGTACGTGGGTTAATGCATAGTTATTGAATTATGAATTCATGACATAAAAACTTTTGATCTCATTGAAAAGGGTGTCTAGTTTGGTCATCGCTTTTGGATTTCTGTAGTATGAAAATCTAGCAGATTATGGCGGGTATAATTTCGGGGGGTCTTTGCGGTCAAACATTCATTTTAAACGGCCAATCTATTCCTCCATGGACTCGTCGTCATCGTCATCCGACAAGTCGTCGATTTCCTCTTTGTCCTCCATACCCTCGTCCTCATCGAAATCATCGCTGAGCCAATCCTCCTCATCGTCCTCGTCCTCATCGTCTCCACCCTTGCCATCAGCTCGAGCCTTCGCTTTTTCTTGCTTCTTCTTTTCAACGTTCTCCTTCTGCAGCTTCTTTCTCGCCTCCTTCTCCTTCTTCTTCTTGTCCCAGTTCTTCTCTTGGACGTTGGCCTCTTCCTCGGTCTTGTTGATGAAGTCGTGCCACATCACCTTACCCTCACACAGGCCCTCCTCGACCTTCATGAGGCGCAGCCGTAGACGCGGACCCAGCTCCACAAGTTTCACCGCGCGTTTCTCAACACCCGGAGTAGCGTTCAGCTTCTTCTGGGCCTTGTCCTTCTCACCGGCCTTCATGCGTTGCAGCTCCCGCTTGTTCAAGATCTTTTTCGTGGTGCTCTCTGCGATCTCGACCTCCGCGTCTGTATCCATCTCGGTCTCGCTGGCAGAAGTGTAGCCCGCTGCAGAGGGATCCAGCAGGTAGTCAGCGGCATCCTCCAACTTCCCCAGGTTCGGCACGGCGGCGCCCTTCTTTTCCTTGTTGCGAACCTCCTTCGGATCTAGACGACGGATTCGTTTCGAGACGCCGGTCTTTTTCGTCGCGATCGCGTAGTGTCGTAGATTTAGGACGTACCCGTCTTCTTCTTCGTCGTTTTTCTTTTCCGATTCGGGGGTGAGTTCGCGGTTCAGGAGCATGACACGGCGGATGGAAGAGAGGGGGGTAGCTTGAGGGTTGATGGGCGGGAAGAGAGACTGGAAGACCGTCGTGGTGAGGGACTCGAGACGTTTCGGGACCCGGGAGTTCTCGTCGACATTGGGGGAATTGAAGTTGTTCATCACCAGCAGAGGCGGGGTCTTGTGGTCCTGGCCGCCGCCTTGGGGACGCTTCATGGCCTTTTCGACGTCCCTGCAGAGCGAGTAATTCTCGACCTTGAAATGAAGGGTCGGGCCGCGCGGCGTGAGAGCCATACGCAGGTTGGTGTTGCCGGTCGCCGACTTGGAGAAGAGCATGAGATGCGTGACGCCGAGAGGACCGGTCATGGAGGTGTAATCTCTCAGTCGATTCGATTTGCGTTCCTGGTCGAATCAGTATTGGGGACACAAGAGCAATCCATCTGTGGGGGTTCATGCACATACCTTCAATCGCACGGCGGTATCCGGTTCCATCATCAAACGAACATCCTTGACCAGTTGACTGACACTGGAGCCGACTTGAGAGGCGCCGACTCGAATGACCATAGACTTCGGAGTTTTGCTTATGGATGCGCCGCCGCCTCTGGCGCTGGCGGAGGCATTTTGCGCCCGAGCATGAGTGCGCTTCTTAGTACGAGCCTTTGCCATTGTGAAATCTGCAAAGGGGCGATGAAATTGGGAAGATGGTTGTCTGTAGAGAAATTCTTCTCTGTTGCTCGGAGCAGGGACGGACTTTTTTTTTTCTAGGCCGAAAAAGTAGATCGGCGGAGCAAAGCCGCGGAGGAGCGCCGGATTAACGATTCTGCGGCACCCGATCTTCTTCCGCTCATACATACTCCGTACATACTATTTATATCTGCATAACTCAAGTGCTTTAATGTAGGCATAATTTAATCTCTTAGAATAACTAAGCTAAACTCATCAATTCGTTTCATAACAGATCCCGTAATTCTATGACTGGATGCGATTCAATCAAGAAAGAATCGAGTTTAAGGATTTCTCCAACTCAATCTCTCTTGGAATATTTTTGTCCTTTCCTTCCACCGTGCAGTCCTATGAGCATAGAGGACGTAGCAGTGTTTTATCCTAGCACACTGTGTCAAATTTGGAGCAGTTGAAAGACCCTCTTAGGCCGAGCCCGCTTCGCGAACGGCATTGGCCACGCGGGTAGCAAGGTCATCGGCCTCAGATCGGCTGGCGGCTTCGGCATAGACACGCACGGCATCCTCAGTGCCACTTGCACGAGCAAAGCTTCTGCCCTTGTTGTAACGAGACTGCAAAGACTCAATCTTCGCCTGGAGTCCAGGAGGGGATGAAAGCTTGCGCTCCGCATCGTAGGCATGGAAGATAGAACGGTCCGCGACCTCCACCCGCACAAGACGCGAGGGCAGATCAGTGTAAGTGGCGAGCCACTCTTTCGGGCTCCAGCTCTTATGGGCAAGGATAGTCTCGACAAGAAGCATATCAGAAAGAGCGTCGCCAACGGCCTGGTTGATCAGATCAGTAAGGGCCTGCAGGCTCTCGAGGGCACGCTGCTGAGCCGGAGACTGAGGCTCCGTGCTCTTGATGGTCTTCAAAGCATTCTCGGAGAAAGTAATGGTTCCGTGACCATTGGCCTCAAAGTAGACGCCGACGTCAAAGCGCAGAGCGGCGTGGTGGAGATGCTTGACACCGGTGTTGGTGCAAACGGAGGGAAGCTTGAGAACCTTCTCGATGTAGTCCGTGCTGGCTCCGTTAGCATAGGCGGTCTGAATGACACCAATCTTGAGCTTCTGGGCGATTCCGGCGTTGCGGGCAAGATCGCCGATGAAAGAAGCAGCAAGCGTGGCGATGCGGTCACCGTCAAGAAGGCGGAACACGTTGCTCTCGTCGACGTAATAGTAGATGAGACGGTCGGCATCACCATCCAGCGATGCGCAGCGGTCGAGGGCAACCGCCTTAGAAGAGGGCGGGGCGCGCTGCTTAGTCTTGACATAGTCGGCTCCGCACTAACTAGGGTTAGCGAATGCAGCATGTTGGCTAGAGGTGACGTGTTTTACATCGAAGTTAAGGCTATCAGGGTTGATGACATCGTCGTTGACAACCTTAATGTTGACACCACCTTCCTCCGCAGAAGGAAGATATTTGATGAGCTCCCTCAGCTTGGGGCCACCGACGCCGTTGGCGCAGTCCACGGTCAACGAGCCGTTGATCTTAACTCCCCTCATGACTCTCTTGAAAGCCTCCGCAAGCTTCTCATAGTAGCCTTGTTCCGTGGGCTCACCATACTCGTATTGGGTCCCCAAAGTGTTCTTGCAACGAACGACATAGTGTAGCTGGGGGGTGGTCATGAATTTCAAATCGAGGAACTCGACTTCGCTGGCGGTGAGAGCGGAGTTGAGGACGCTCACAAGTCGCGAGCCAGAGGCACGAGTATCCCGGGCGAAGACGACACGGGCAGGATTTCCCATGCTCACATCAATCTCCTTGACGAGCTCGTCATACACCTCACCAATCTTATCCAGAGGGGCGTTGGCCAGCTTAGTAGCATAAGCCTCCCATTCGGCCTGTCCAGTATATGATTAGACCGACTATCGAGATCTGTTTCTTCGCGATATAACTTACTTCTAGCATTTCGCCCTAGTAAAAACGAGTGTTAGAGGAGCATACCAGCGATTATTTTGCTTGATTAACTTACCATAGGATCAACCAACTTGACACCATTGTCCTCGGCGGGGTTGTGACTAGCGGTCACCATGACACCAATCCATTGTCCGCTAAGTTTCTTGGACCGAAGTCCAGCAAGCAAGCCCACGGCGAAGACGACCGTGTTCAGAAGGTCACTAGGAGCAAGCGTTGGTCGCTGTATAAACAAAAGGGCGATCGCGGGGTATTGTGGAGGCGGGGTTGATCAATCCTTCAAAGGGGGGGTGGGTGGAAAGTGGAAGATGACTTACGCCTTCATACGGAACTGTCAAGAGAAGGATGTCAGTTAGCTCGGCTCCACAGACCATAAACAACGAAACGCCAAAAGGGACCAACTTACGCCGGCGGTACCATATTGGAAAACCTTGCCTTCAGGCTTCGTATACTGCAGCGCCGCCTCGGTGATCGCTTTCTGAATGGCCGGAGACGCCATTTTGGCGCAAGTAGTGTCGATGGAGGGAGAAAGGTCTGATGAAAACTAATGATAGGCAATTGCCCAGAAGACACGCAAAGTAAGAAGGGTAAAAAAAAAAGACGAGGGTAGAAAGGCTAAGGGAAGAATGTAGAAAAACTCGAAGGGGGGCAGAAGGGACAAGGCACAGCCCGTGACCAGGTGAGACACGATGACCAGCTGCGGTTAGCTCTTTCCGCGGTACTGCCCCAGGGCTGCCGAGCGGTGAGCCAGCAGGAGAGGCGATGGACACACCGCCTCAGAAGCCAACCGAAGGCTGTGGAAGTAATCTCCCTGTCCGTGAGAAGGTCGATTTATTGCATATGATATCCCAGTACGGAGTACACCGTATACATTGCATGGCGCATAAATAAAAAAAAAAAAACTAAAAAAAAACGAGTTCTTCAATTATACATATACTCGACATGTTAGATTTGGCCCTCCTTTTTAGGTGATAGATGGCGAGAAATGCGAATAGACTACGGAGTACGGAGTAATAGACTCCCTACTACTGGTAGTCCTAGTAACTACACCGTAGTAACTAGTAACACTAGTATGGGGTATGGTATCCAGTCACCTGGGCCTTCGCGAGGCCCCAAGCCGTTCATGCTTCATAATTTTAGACGGATGACACCTGGTCAGCTTAGGCCTTCAATCGATCCCCAGCCACGTCGTTCTGAACGTCTTTGATGAGGAACCTGTGGACCGTCATGTTAGTGCTTTGATGCATTCCGTGCCAGGGTGTCGGCCAGACTTACAAATACCACCACGCCGTTGGAACGACGGTTCCCAGGTGCCACAAACTATGAGCATCGATTAGGCTTCTCCAAGGGGCGAAGTCCAGCAACTCCAAGCTCATAGCCAAGATGATCCAAACCACGATCAACGCAGGCCACACGGTCCAGATTTTGTCGGTCTTGCGATAGCGGTAGATACTCCAGGCAGTCCACAACACATTCTGAGTCATCCCGACGACGATGTTGGCAATCATGTTGTAGGTGTAGTCCCAGGACCAGAAACTGAGATAGCACACGTGGAGGGTGTAGAGGAACAGGCAGACCGCAGTCAAGAGACGGCGCAGCGTCGGTTTATGGCGAGGCTCCTCTTGGTCCAGACGGAAAATTCGAATAATAGCCAGATAAAAACCGTACATGACATTGGCTCCGGCTCCGAAATAATCCAGTTTCTCCGTGAGAGGGAAATCCCGGGCGTGGAAAAGCGTGCTGAAGGTCCAGCATAATAAACCGCAGTATCCGAAAGCGAGATAGTAGTTCCGTAGAGAGTGCCAGGACGGAATGACTTCGCGGATTCGACTCATACCCTGCCAATGCGCAACAAAGTTGAGGAAGGAGAATAGAACGGAGAAGGGCTCTTGCATGCCCAAGATGCGGCGAAAGGGCCATTTTCCATGGAATTGTACAACTGGATTGAGCATCGGAGGGTCGCGAGCGACTCGACGGTCCGTCACCACATGCTGGCAGGTATAATCACATTCGGCAGGGCAGGTCCACAGCATCAAACGGAGATGGATCGCTATTGGGATTGAAACAGCATTAGCAATCAGGCATGACGCGTGAGTATATAGAACTTACGAAGAGCCGAGTTGCCAGCTTCACAATTCTCGGTTTGACAGATCTGATTGGGTGGTCAGCTCGCGGGCATTGAAAGCCTTCGGGGCAGTAGGCACCTTAACACATTCTTTAAAGTCCGGGAGGTGGTCACCTAAAGAGGCCGTTGTCCTGCCGATTAAAGTGGCGACGAGAAGAAACAGCAAGGAATAGCCGGCTTTCCTCCTAGTTGATCCTAGAATCATTGTGCTCTTTGTGTGTGGCGTGCGCCGGTGGAACGTGGAAGCTTCAGGAGAGACCCGACGCTAGGAAGAGTGAGGGCGCGCGATCGTTGGAGCGCGAGCGGAGTACCTGACATTATTTGCCGGGCAATGGGGGACATCTTGGCGTTTCGTGAACAACGGAAGCGAAGTGCAAGACCGATCTGGTCCAGGGAGTTGGGTAGGTTCTGAAGTCAAATCAATGCCTTGGTCCAAGAGAAAGTGTAATAGTTTTTTGATATTACCTCTCATTCTTCATTGTACAGAGTAGGTAGTTCTGTTGTCATAACTCTGGTTGCCGTTTCGTTGACAGCCTAGATATTGTGTACAAGGCAAAACTCTGTCTGGGACTGGGGTCTTCTCCAATTGTGAGATATCATATAAATTTGGCAAATGCGCGACGATGGGATCAGACATTTCGAAGGGGAGGTCAGAGAGACTGAACAACAGAGGGCCGGACTGCAACTGTCCACTGCATCTCAGAATAATACTTACTTCTGTCGTACGGCGCAGATACGTCGAGGAGACGCTATCCCCAATCTGGATACATTGATGTCCGGATCACATGATGTCCACGTTGGGTCTAGTGCCTCGCCCTTCGGACTAAACCCGGATTGGAAACGAGCGGTCTCTGGCCGTGCGGAGGGGAAGAATGCCTAACTAATGAGGGCAAAAGTCAAAGGGAAAAAAAAAAAAAAAAGTCCTTGAAGGAATCTCAAAGGCGCTTAACTTTTCTCCTCCCTTTCATTACTTCTCATACGAAGATTTTTATTTTTAAATTTCTTCGTCGCTTCTAACATTTCTTTCATTTCTATATCGTTCTTTTCTTTTTTCTTTCCCTTGAATCGAAAAGTACCTTCGTGAAGATGAACGGATCCGAGAGACAACAGTCTGCAGACCCTGCTGCGATGACCACCAGCAGCGCGGATCGTATGGTGGGCATGGACCACGCCGAAGTCCGTTATTTTACTAGGTATGTCGAGAGGGGATTCCGTCATGAGTAAATGTTTCTTCTTGCTGACTGGGATCATAGCTACGATCATCATGGTAATTACCGCCAAATCGCTGCAGGTCTCCATTGAGCTTCTAAACCCGCTAACTTTCGAGTCTTCTTCCAGGCATCCACGAGGAAATGCTTGTAAGTACAATCCGTTTAGACCGGCTTGACGCCTCGCTAATATGACTGTGATCTCTAGAAAGATGATGTCCGTACCCGATCCTACCGCGATGCTATCTACCAGAACCGTCATATCTTCAAGGATAAGGTTGTCCTCGATGTTGGATGCGGTACTGGAATTCTCAGCATGTAAGTGCTCTCGTGCGACCAACGGGGTCTGGTCCAGTGCACTGACAACGTGGATTGCTTTATAGGTTCGCCGTTAAGGCCGGCGCCAAACACGTGATTGGCGTTGACATGTCCTCGATCATCGAGAAGGCCCGTGAGATTGTCGCCGTCAACGGGATGGCCGATAAGATCACTCTCCTCCAAGGAAAGATGGAGGAGGTCGTTCTTCCCTACCCTAAGGTTGATATCATTATTTCGGAGTGGATGGGATACTTCCTTCTCTACGAGTCCATGTTGGACACCGTTCTCTACGCCCGTGACCGCTACCTCGTGCCCGGCGGCAAGATCTTCCCCGACAAGGCCACCATGTACTTGGCCGCCATTGAGGATGGTGAATACAAGGACGACAAGATTGGATGTAAGCGGCATTTGCCCTCTGATTGGAATCCCTTATCTTCCAAACGCTAACTCGTCCTAGTCTGGGACAACGTTTACGGCTTCAACTACAGCCCCATGAAGGAAATTGCCCTCACGGAGCCCCTGGTCGACACCGTGGAGATGAAGGCCTTGGTTACTGACCCTTGCCCCATCATCACCCTCGACCTCTACACCGTCACCACCGCCGACTTGGCCTTCAAGGTCCCCTTTTCTCTCCCTGCCAAGCGCAGCGACTTCATTCACGCCGTGATTGCCTGGTTTGATATTGAGTTCGGCGCCTGCCACAAGCCTATTCTCTTCTCCACCGGCCCTCACGCCAAGTACACGCACTGGAAGCAGACCGTTTTCTACTTGCGTGATGTGCTGACCGTCGAGGAGGAGGAGACTGTGACTGGTGTCTTGGAGAACAAGCCGAACGACAAGAACAAGCGTGACCTTGATATTACCATTGATTACAAGTTCGAGACTTCCGATCCGGTGCGGTACTCGGAGGGCAGCTGTTTCTACAGGATGTAAGTCATGAGGTTGTTCTGCATCACTGCAACCAGAAGACTAATTTGAGCAGGTGTTAAATTAAAAATATTCGCCTCTGACCACTTGCGATCTACGATGTTCGGATGCTGTATCAGAGCCTGGTACGGACCCACGTACTCGCAAAAGAATTTACGCATGGATAGCATAGCATATATGAGGGTCCATTATATGGACATTGGGATATTGTTGAAGTTATGGTTCAAAATCATGGTCCGGTATCTATTTTGATTTCGTTTTTCACAGTTGAGATTTGCTTGTACGGCGTTGTTTTTGGAAGAAGGCAGGGGAACGGGCATCATTATTCGGCGCGATACGGAGAGATGATTTCCACAAGAGACGATTATGAAGCTCCTCGAATTCCCCAAGTAGATACCCCGAGTCGACGCTTAGTCTAGCTGCCTCCGGTCTCCTTATCTTGTTAAGATTCGAATTCTTTTGTGTTTTTTTCTCTTTTTCATGGACCTTGACGTTAATACCACAATATAGAGAAATGTACCTTTTTTTTGTTTTATCTGTTGATTGATTGATTAGTTTTGTGATAGGATTGATAACAGAAAGTTAGCCGACTTGGCGACGTTGGCGTGCTTCGGCCTCGGTTCTTCACGGCAGGCCCCGCAACCGAGTCGACTTAATCTTCAGAGGTAGATTGACCTGGAACTGTCTGTCTGGACGTCATTGTTTATTTTTTTTTTCTTCTCTAGTTATTTTGGCTACAGCCACTAGACTTTACTTTCTACCTTCTACTTGATTTGCGGGATTGTCACCCTTCTTGTTTAACATTGGCACCGCACTTCCGTCGCCTCAATCAACAGCTGCCCGATGTCGGCACCAGGAGTTGGCTTCGAATATCCTGCGCAGGAGGTTTCCTGGCAAAAGCGGGATGTTCTGCTATTTGCTAACAGCATTGGCTGTAAGGCCGATGAGTTGCATTTCCTCTATGTGAGCCAACGTGTGAATTGATGCACTGCTATCTGCTAATGCTCGAGTGTCAGGAACTGCACCCTAACTTTGCTGTCTTCCCAACATATCCTCTGATTCTCCGTATGAACCTCTGACCGCCAACTAGAGCAATCGAATCTAGACACTGATGTTTGTCTTCATGCAAAGCGTTCAAGCTCACAGACCAGGAAGTGACGGATTTCTATGCACGCTCGACAGCAACCCCTATCCCCGGCGTGCCTCAATTTGACTACAGCAGGGTAGTGGATGGTCAGCGCAAGCTCACCGTGCTGAAACCTCTGCCGCCCACCAGCGCCGGTCGTACATTTGAGTTGCGCAGTAAAGTGGTTGGCGTGTATGATAAAGGCAAACCAGGCACGGTTGTCGAGACTGAGCAATCGATTGTGGACAAGGACAGTGGTGAAGTGTACTCCAAGACGCTGAGCAGCAATTTCTTCGTTGGTCAGGGCAACTGGGGAGGACCGAAGGGTAAGAGAAATCATCCACCGTTCTTCCGAGACACACTGGCTCATATTGATGTTTGACTGCCAGGCCCCAGCACCGTCAGCTACCTTCCTCCCGAGGGCAAAAAGCCCGATGCTGTCCATGTAGTCCAGACGAATATGGAAACCGCGCATCTCTACAGGTGAGGGATAACCTATCCGACGCGTCTCTTCCCCACAGTAAGAAATCGACAGCTAATAAAGCCGGATTCTTGTTAGGCTAAATGGAGACTATAACCCACTCCACGCTACCCCGGAGCCCGGCTCCAAGATGGGCTTTGGGGGCATCATTATCCATGGGTTGTTTAGTTGGAATTCGGCCGCTCAGGGCATCCTGAAAGAGCTGGGCGGGAGCGACCCGAAAAACCTCCAAGTTTTTCAGGCGCGTTTTGCCTCGCCAGTTAAGCCCGGTGACAAGCTTGTTACTGAAATCTGGCGAACTGGCAGATCTAACAAGGGACTCGAGGAAATTCGATTTGTCACGAAGAATGGCGATGGTAAGGTGGTTCTCAGCAATGGTCGTTGCCTGATGAAGGTGGCCAAGTCTCGAAGTAAACTTTAAGTTTGTATGCCATGTAAGGCAAAGACATTTTATCTGGGAGGATTAGATAGATGAATGTATCTGTATAGCTAGACGATGAAGTAGCAGTAATTTAGTCCAAACGCATACCAGGATGGTCTGTGCACGTGACGCCAGGGCCGCCGAGGCGCCGGAATAACATGCGACTCTCTTTCTCCCGTCACGAACTGCGCAGCGAGAACCAGGCAGGCCCGTCGAGATCATGAGTCGCGTTGCTGTTTTTGGGGCCTATGCGCCCTTCAAGAATAAGAATGCTGGGTAATTTGTGTTATATTCTGCCGCCGAGGACGCCGTTTCTGACATCATTGCTAGCACTTTGCCATCCTCACTTGTAAGTAGTAGCCGAGGTGATACGATGGCCACACTTGCAAGCGCCAGTTTCAAGGTCTTGACACTACACAGGCTGCAAGCCGGCGAAGTTCTTCCATAAGCTTGGGGGCTATTTGCCAAAACCCTCGACTGTGTCTTTCATACCGCCGATTACCCGCAGTCGCTTCGACGAGGGCGAATTCATCACTTCCGCAGCGACGGGACGGTCGAATGGTCGCGAAAAAAGCATTGCAGCCTTTTGTGGCCTTCAAAAGTGACCAACACAGGGACCAATATACATCCCTGCAAAAGGCGCTTGATGGGCCCATTGGCCTTTAGTAAGCAAGCTACCTTTGCTAAGAGCATCAACTGTTTGCGGCATGCTAATGTGCGTCGCAGTGGAAATTTCTGGCTTAGGTATTAGACTTGACCCCTCTTGAGTCGATCATCAAGTCGCTTATCCTCGTCCACTTTACTCGGTTCTAGGGAAAATTGCCAATGCTCGAAATGTATCCACCCGGACACAAGGCAACGCATTGCAGACACTTTCTCGGTACGAGGATTCACAATGCCCTTGGAAAGATCTGCCTTGGCTAACAGCCAACCTTTTGTTACCTGATTCCAGATACCCAAAGATGTAAAGGTACAACAGGTTGAATACACTGCCGATGGGGCTGAACTGCTGTGTACTTATCCCGGCTCGCTGTTTATCATTCTGGAGGGCTGACTTTATATAAGGGTCGGATGGTCATCGCGGTTCCTACCCCTTCACATGGCTAAGAAGCCATGCCAACGGGAAGAGCAGACCGCTGAACCCAAACTGGATGCCTGTTCGGTAAAGCAGCGTTGACGCTTGCCAGCATATGTCCATGGACTTTTGCTAACGCTTGGCTTCAGGTTTTCCAAACATCATGGTCCCAGTAGCCCATTCCCTCCAGCGGTATCATACACCAGCGTTATGTCTGACGATCGGGCTTTGTGGCGGTGGCTTGAAGCGATCGTAAGTTTGGTCCGACCCCACTCAGCTTTGTCTAACAATAATTTAGCAAGTGTACGGATTTTCTTTTGTGCAAGGCGTACCTGTCGATCCAGAGTCCACCAAGTCTCTTCTGGAAAGAATTGCTTTCATCAGACATACTCACTACGGTAGGTCCCTCGACTCCTTTTAACGGTTTTCGCTGTTGCTCATAATATCAAGGTGGCTTCTGGGACTTCACTTCCGATCTCACTTTCAAGGACACTGCCTACACCTCGGAAGCGCTTGGTGCACACACAGATAACACATACTTCACCGACCCAGCCCGACTCCAACTCTTCCATCTTCTATCTCATACTGACGGTGATGGGGGTGCCAGCCTGCTTGTCGACGGGTTTCATGCGGCAAAACTTTTGTACACTCATAATCCCGAACATTTCCGCACCCTAGCTGAAATCCCTCAGCCATTTCATGCCAGTGGCAATGAAGACACTTGCATACAGCCTGCAGCCCAAGCACCCGTTTTCAGCATGCACCCGCAACACCAAAGACTGTTCCAGATACGATGGAACAATTACGACCGGGCGGCCAAGACCGACTGGAATATGGAAGAGCAGATGAAATGGTACGAGGCAGCTCGGGACTTCAACCACATTATTCACTCGGAAGAGTTGCAGCTGTGGACACAGCTTGAGCCTGGAACGGCACTGAGTAAGAGCTACAATGAGCTTAGGTCTGCGAAATCTGACTGATCCCGAATTTAGTTTTCGATAACTGGAGAATGCTTCATGGACGCTCCGAATTCACTGGAAAACGAAGGATGTGTGGTGGATATAGTATGCGCCCTTCAATTCATCTTTGCTTTCTCTTATTTACCATGGACTGGTCAACGAAAGACGCGCTAACAGCTTCCCAGTCAACAACGATGACTTTATGTCAAAGTACCGTCTTCTCGAGTTTGGTCGCCAAAAAGTCTTGGACAATCTTGGGAACAACGTCGCTCTCAGGTACAACCCCAACTTTCGCTACTGATCGCATTACAAGAACGTACTCGGGCTACCCCGGACAGGAGACATGTAAATACTACAAATATATCTGTAGCTAGATATGAAGATGACATCAGCATCGCATATAACTAACTTGGTAGTTAACTTACTTAGTGCTGTAATTGCGTGCAACATTCCTTAGTCAGCGACATCATTTGTCAGTGGTGTCACGTGACATAGGCAGGACAGCTGACGTTGTTTGGCCGGAGCTCAACAGCTGCCCGGCAGGTCCTTTTCCATCTCATACCCCATCACTCTCTGCCCCCTCTTCCCCCCGTCTGCGCCAATTTAGAACTGCTGCGTGCTGTCAATTCTCGTTTATATTCTTCCCATTTCCTACATCCTATCATGTCCACCTTAGAGGATCTCGAAGACCTCGAGCGTGAGGAGAGAGACAAGAAGGAGCAGGGCGATGGCGACGGCAAGAAGCCCGGAGGCGACGGCGACGCCGAGATGGACGATGCCGAGAAGAAGGATGAGGATGATGAACTTCTGGACGAGGAAATCCTTCACTCCAGCACAGCCGACATCGTCAAGCGACGGCGGATGCTTGAGAACGAGATGCGCATAATGAAGAGCGAATACCAGCGGTTGACACACGAGCAGAGCACGATGAGAGAAAAGGTCAAGGATAACCAGGAGAAGATCGAGAATAACAGGTACGTTGATTTACCGAGCTGTGCTGACGTGGGGGGATGCTTCTTCCTTGCCACTCGCTGCTCTCTCGTACTCTCTTGGATGAGATGAGGGCGATGAATCCATCCTCTGGTTTCTCATACAAACGGTTGCTATCGTTTGAACATTTACACTAACTATTTTGCTTTTCCCCCTCTGGATAGACAACTACCATACCTTGTCGGAAATGTTGTCGAGCTGCTGGACCTGGATGTCGAGGCCGAAGCCGCCGAGGAAGGAGCCAACATCGATCTTGACGCTACTCGAGTGGGCAAGTCTGCAGTTATCAAGACGTCGACTCGCCAAACCATCTACCTGCCTCTCATCGGTCTCGTAGACCACGAGAAACTCAAGCCCGGTGATCTGATCGGTGTGAACAAGGATTCATACCTTGTCTTGGATACACTACCGGCCGAATATGACAACCGAGTAAAGGCCATGGAGGTCGACGAGAAGCCGACGGAGAAATACACGGATATCGGCGGTTTGGACAAGCAGATCGAGGAGATTGTCGAGGCTATCGTATGGCCGATGAAGGAGGCGGAGCGTTTCAAGAAGATCGGTATCAAGGCACCAAAGGGTATGTTGGACCTTCTTAATTCCTTTCATTATATTCTTGCCCCTAACCGTTACTTTCTCGCCCAGGTGCTTTGATGTACGGACCCCCCGGTACCGGTAAAACCCTCCTTGCTCGTGCCTGTGCGGCCGAGACAAACGCCACCTTCTTGAAGCTTGCCGGTCCTCAGCTGGTACAGATGTTCATCGGTGACGGTGCGAAGCTTGTTCGTGACTGCTTCGCCCTCGCCAAGGAGAAGGCCCCGTCGATCATCTTCATCGACGAGTTGGATGCCGTGGGTACGAAACGTTTCGACTCGGAGAAGTCCGGTGACCGTGAAGTGCAACGAACTATGCTGGAGCTCCTGAACCAGCTGGACGGATTTGCCTCGGACGACCGAATCAAGGTGCTCGCTGCCACCAACCGTGTCGATGTTCTCGATCCCGCCCTGCTGCGATCCGGCCGTCTGGACCGTAAAATCGAGTTCCCTCTGCCCAACGAGGAGGCCCGGGCCAACATCCTGCAGATCCACTCCCGCAAGATGACCGTGGAGAACTCGGTGAACTGGGCCGAATTGGCTCGCAGCACGGACGAGTTCGGCGGTGCCCAGCTCAAGGCCGTCTGCGTCGAGGCCGGTATGATCGCCCTCCGCAAGGGCCTGAGTAAGATCGGTCACGAGAACTACGTGGATGCCATCGCCGAAGTACAAGCCAAGAAGAAGGACACGAACATGGGTATTTACGTCTAATGGGGATGTTTTTGTCTTTTGTTTATTTCTAATTTCGTCCCTTACGAATGAATTCCTTGCAATGAATGATCCTTCTTTCTCACTTTCCCTTACACTCTCTGCCATGTATCTACGTACACCGGGTCTAATTTCAATATTTGATATACACGTGGAAGCTGTCTCTCGAGAGACGATCAATAAATACCTAGGCAAATGAGTAGTGGGAATCACATAACACGAACGTGGAATAAGACCTGTTGTTCCCAGTCGAGGAAGCTAAGCTAGTCAGAGAAAGCAAAGAGAATAACCAACCTCAACATCGACATTAAATGGAACTTCTCTGCTAAATCACAATTCTCTTGTCTTTTGAGTAAAAATCCATTCATTACATTATGCACTAAATAAACCATATCCATCAAGATATCTAGCTAGTTCACTGTACAGGGATATTATGAATATGCCCACCAGACCCAGAAAAACGAATCAGTCAATCGAGAAAGAGGCCAGATATTAAAAGATGGCAGAAAGATGTATGGACAAAAAGAAACCAAAGTCAAATGAAGGCTGTATATCCAATCCTAATTAATTCCTAGTTCGTCACAAGCGCCGTCCGGTGAGAAAGTGGGTAAAGCGAAACAGATCTAAAATGAAATGATATATAGAGGGTTGAAGATGGACCGTCCGGTGCGTGCCATGTCTGTATCCCTTGGAGTAAAACAAAATGAACATGTGATGTTCGGGGTATATAGTGATAGAGAGAAGGAGAGAGAGAGAGAGATGCACCAGTGAAGTCTTTGGTACTTTTTGGAAATTAGACCGGCCAAGCTCGACAGGTTGGACTCTGCAAGCAGTGTCGAGACGATCTCGTCCGCCATGTTGATCCGTAACGCCATTTTCCGCGTTATATCCGTAGTTCAGCATGTTCCTTGCATGCCGTTTTTTTTTTTTTAGGTTTTCTGTCCTTTCCTAGAGAGGGAATTGAGAGGAAGAGAGGTTGTCCTGGACTATCCCTAGAGCTAGGGTGACTTTAGCTCAGAAAAGTCGTTTGATATCAATTGATTCAATGTTCTTTGGACACTCTCGTTCCATGTGGAACCACCACTCACGACCACCTTTATGGCTGTAGTTCCACGAGCCCGTGCAGGTGTCCTTCTCCCAGGGAAGCGATGTCGTGGACCCAAGACTCATCGGGGTGGACGGGGTGGTGGGTGTGTTTGGGCTTGTCCCTAATGCTGAGCGGTTGCCAATGCTACCCCACCCGAATCGTGAGCTTGGGGTCGATGCGGGTGATGGTGGCTCATCAGGGGGGGGAGTAGGCATGCCCTTGTTACCGAAGCAATTTACACCAACACCCGCTGCGTACGTTAACGATTGATTGGAGGCAAGGATGTGCTTCCAGCCAACGAGACCCCCGTCGGCTTCTTGCCCATGGATATCGGGACGCAGAATGAACTTTGGGATTTTCACGTCCTTCGCGCTGGTGGTGGTGCCTATCCTCCCCATATAAGCAGGCATTCTGAAGTCGTATACGGTAACGGGTCCTTCCGGGTCCTCAGATTCCGCGTTTTCGTCTTCATTTGGACGTTTATGTGACCCGCACACGCCAAATTCGTTGATGTCTAGCTCTGACGCCTCGTCGGACAGTGCTTCCTCTTCAAGAGCACTATCAGGGACATAAGAGTCCGAGTGATCGGTGATCAGTACCCTCATGCCAGTTTCCGTGTCTTTCACCGCGGTATCAATGAATGTCTGTGCGCGAATACGGGCAGATGTCAAATTGTTTCCCCCTGGCAGGGCCATAGGTCGGGTTTTAACAGAGCCATGAGAGCTGCGTGGAAGACTGTATCGGTCTGGCTGGAGTAGAGCCTGTCCACGCGGGATCGGTTGACATACGCCCTGGAGAACACCAGGGGGCTCTATGTCAGATGGCGCACGAAGGGCTTCTAGCTGAGGGAATCCCCCAGCGATAATGCTCTGTGCAAGATGGGAGTTAGGCGTGTCGACATGGCTCGGGGGTTTAGCGAAAGGAGCATAATCGAGTTTGGTAAGAGCGGTGTGTGGATCCGGACAAGCTACATCCCAATGCATATGCCTGAGAGTCGATGAAGCCAGCAAGGGCTGGAAAACGATGCCGTCCGCTTCCAAGGTCGGAGGTTTGTTGCTCTGGACAATCTTGAAATGCTCGAGTTGTCCCAACGACGCCAGAATTTTCGAAATCACTAGCATGGATTGGACGTCCTGTTCGATAAGAGCCAGCGTGCGGAGCGAACTTGATTCCGGGCGTGAAGTATACTGCGCCAGACCCGTATCGGTAACACCGGGGAGGCTCTCCAGCCGAAGCGACTTCAAGGGGGGTAAACAGAGCAAAGCGCTGTCCGCAAAGGCGTCTTCGTTGAAATTCGAGATGCACAGGTTTTGTAGCGAGGGAAGGAGGCTGAACATGCGAAGAAAGATGCTCGGTTCCAAAGCGCTATTCTCGGTCAGCCCGTAAAGCATCAGAGTCTCTAGATTCGTCCACGAAACGTGGTAGTCCAGAAACTCGAACATCTGCAAGGGACCCAAGCTTCCGGGACAAGACGTGCTGCGAGGGGAGCCTTCCGAGGCTTCCGTTGCTTCACCCAAAATCCAGGTATGCTCTTTCAATTTCCGTCGGGTGGACAAGGCGTGAGTGAGCCGGTCGAACTCGTGATTGTGTGGAATGGACAACCCCAATAGCCGCTCCAGGTTAGGGCAGACCATGACGACCGATGCGACCAGATCGCGATACTCCTGCCATGAAGAGCTTTGTTTGCCGTTCGTGAACAGCAGATCCATCTGGGGAACGCGCAGCTCCAGGACGAGATTGGCCAGCAATTTCCTTTCCCTGAGAGTCCGTCTCAACAGCTTCAATCGGCTTCCTCTTTTCAATCTGTATTTCTTCAATTGGGACGGCGAATCGTTTCCGACGATGTGAATTCGGTTGTACCTGAAGGTAAAGATCTCGCCGTCAGCAAGTCATCTATCTGTCAGAAACGTTCGCACTCACAGTTTAGCCCTGACGGCCCGTTCCCAGGGTCGACAGGTCAACGAGAGGGCATGCAGGTCGCGTTGATAGCATGTTAGACACCCGTTTTGGTTCGAGTCGGTATGTAAATTGTACAACTGATCTAAAATAGTTTCGTATACTTCATAAGGGAGTCGCTTGAAGACCGACTCGAGGATCTTGTCCAGAGAGGCGGCGGAATCACATTGACGGTATGAGGAGCCCGGAGAAGTTGGGGAGTAGCAAGTAGGGGCGGTCGACACGCTGTAGTTGGTTCTGAAGGACGATACCGATGACGTCCGAGAAGATACCGGTTGTACCATCACTGTGTATGCGGAATCTTTGTAGTCGTGAGCGGAATGGGGAGAAGACGGAAAGGTCGCGCTTTCGGGTCTAGTAGCGACGGCATTCATCCTGAGCCCTCAATGTGCATCTGACAGCATGAAGAGCGATTGATTATTCAGGCGATGGTCCAAAAAAGGGAAGAGAGAGAAAAAAAAAAAAATGAAATTGGAGCGCAGTGTCAAAGTTAAGGGGAAAGGAGGGAAGTGATTAAGTGGGGAATAGAAAAGAGAGCAGGATGCGCGTTGGTATGTGCCGAGAGATATTGCGCCACTACTCCGTACTCGAGTTATGCTTATCTCGTGTGTGCGTAGGGGCGATGGTGAAGAAGGGAAAATCCGAAATCAAAATAAACAATAATAGACTTGGAAACCCCAGACAGAGAGTGTAAGAACATGGGATGGGGGGGGGGGGGGGGGAGGAGTAGTAAGAAAAGAGAAAAAAGGAAAGATGGAAAAGGGTGGCTATTTTAGGAATCCAACCGGGACATCAACCAGCGACAGAGAGCATCGCAGCATACTATCTACTACTAATCAGTCCATAATAGTGACCCAAAGGGGCTTAACCCAGGGCCATGAGGCATTGAGCACATACCACAGACACGCCACTTCTTCGTTTAGGTTAGCAGCAAGAAACTAGGAGGACCTGGGCGGCACTCGAGGGCCGATCGTCCCCACCAGGGGAATGAGGATCTTGGGTTCACGGCCTACTGCTCCGTAGGCTAGCATGCCAGCGACTCGTGCTCGGAGGCGGAGAGCTCGTGTCATCTGCGGCCAGCCATCAGGGGCAAGGAGAAATTCCCGGGCCAGGGGAGACTTGGGAGGAAGCTAGAGGAGAGGCTAGGGACTAGAGAGTCAGAGATTCGGGGCTAAGGAAAGTTGGAGGACTCAAGTTGTCCAGGGGAAACTGCATGAGGGCTAAAGGGGGAGGTGGACTAGGTTACTAACTTACTAGTCCGTAGTCAGTGGTTAGCCAGAGAGTTAGTTGGTCTTTTCATTCGATCATAGGCCAGAGGGAAAACCCAAAAGCATCCGTCCATCCGTCATTCGATTCTGAGAATTCGGAAAATGACATTCATTGCATTGAAGATCAGGATGAACGTTTGAATTTCTGTGGATGAAGCCACATGGGTCAAAGCCATTCAGGCTGAGATCATCATTGTGCCTGGATACGAACCGGGGGGGACATAATCATCGTCAGGATTGACGAGGCGCGCAGAAAGAAATCCGTGGACGCTGCTTGGCGCTAGGCCCCTCCAGGGCTTAGCGTGGTGGGCCTGGGCTGGGCGGCCTCAGGAACACCACACTAGCCCCCTTTGGGGCGGTTCATGGGTTGCCCCTTTTTGTTTTGTTTTTCTTCTTGTTTCTTTTCTTTGTCTTTTTTGCATGCTTTGCACCCTTTGTTCCTCTGTTTTCTCTTCCTCCTCATTGACAAAGTGGAGTCTCGGATTCAATCTCCAACCTCCATTCCTATATTTAATACTTATGGACTGACAACCCAGACTACTCAGGCATAAATGACTGAGACGATGAGGTCCCATTACAACATCCGTATCACCATCCGCATGGACATGGACCCATCCTACCCATCGGTTCGCACCGTTAAGCGGATTCGATCATTGGCTAGTGCCCTGACCACTCTCCAAATGCTCGATACTCGATACCATATGATCATATCAATCCCAGACATCCCCCCCGGTGGAGTGGATGCGTGGTTTGACGAGATCCGTTTACCGTGCTCAGTGTCCACCCTATCAAGAGAAACATCGTCACGATAGATATCCGCAGTATATATAAATATATATTATATGCTTTTAGTCCAAACCGCCATTGATTTATCCGCTCTATATCAAACTGCCTTACTATCCGTACCCCGTAACATGGCCGCTCTGCAGTCCAAATCCGAAGAGCACGGAGTCCACCCGTTCGGGGTTTGTTCCTTGTTCCTGCGGGATATCCTCCGAAGGTCCCATGCGGTGTACATACACAATATTGAGGTGTAGGACCGTTCTCGGTCCGACCAATAACGAGTTTCTCTGGGTCCCCTATGCCGTCCTCCTTGCGGGAATATTATCTTGTGCATTATCAACCCTCCGAGATCGATTTATTCTCGCTATCCCGAGCATAAGTGGAGCACGGAGTACACCCAGCACCGTGAAACATGGAGCGCTTTGGTTTCGCCCACCCGTGCTCGCAACCCGTTGCTCGCAGAGGAACAACCGATTCGAATTCCTACAATTGGATACGGGGTCTGGATTACACAGGACTCCGGGCATGTAGCCAGAACTCGGTAAGAAGAAAAGAAGGTCCATAGTCCATTCTGACTCGTATCCAGTGGGTCAATGCAGGGATTTCAAATCTGCAACATGGAGTACTCACTTTGCGACGAACACATCCATTGTTGGCTGTTGCCCTCCGAGTCAGACTATCGATTTTTTTGATTTTTTTTTTATCGGTTCCATGGGGATTGACTGAACATGATCTACTCCCCCGTCCTCTGCACTTCTGGATCGAGTGATGATCACCTGCAGTGCGGTGCAGCAGTACAACTAGTAGATTCCAGCTAGCCAAATTTCTCCTTCAATCATATCGACATCTTCATTCTTCATGTCACCTTACATGCATGCACAAGACACGGCACGGCAAGTCCGTTGGGTCGAAATCCTTCCGGGACGGAACTCGAAACCGATCCCTGACTTTTCGTTTAACTTTTCAGCTTCGAGACAAGGGGGGGGGGGGGGGGGAGAAAGAAAACAGACAAAAAAAAAGCAAAATACGCTTGCCCCTAAAACAGATTAGCTGGGCTATTTTTAATATATCCATTCCACGGTCTAGGGCCTTGACGTCAGAGGAGGTCCGTAGAGGTTTAAGATCCCATGGAGATTTTCTACCTTCCTGGCGCGAGGTCCTGCATTCGAAGCGTCGTAGCGGAGGACTCCATTGCGTTTACCACTGAATTCGCACATAAGGTCTTCTTTATCCTATGTAAATAGATAATTATCAGGATATTCAGTCAATCTTCAATCCTTGAAGTTCTTGATCAATTTTACTGCTTCCAGTACTTCGAATTCCAACATTGATAGATATTTGTGCTTGTGCTTCTGCTTCAACTGCTTCCAACTCTTCCCCCCTCTTTTTTTTCTTCTTGGGCTAGGTAGATTGAGCTGCCTCAACCGCGAATCGAACGCAGCCCAGAATAGCCAGTACACGAACAAGGACTACCAAGTAACTTTATTTAATAACAAGTATTCCCTAACTGGGGAGGGGTGTTAAGAGCTGTTCGTGCGGTGTCAGGCCTAACACTAGCTAGACCAGGTAAATCACGTGAACACCCGGCGCAGTGCCTACCGAGCCCCCTTCTCCCCCAAAAGGAGGTCTGGTGAGCTGCAATCACGCTCTTTCTTTATCAAAATAGATAAGTATTCAATAATACTATGAAAATAAAAAAAAAAAAAAAAAGAATAAGGGCCCAATCCGCGATTCGAACGCGGGGCCTCGCCCATTCACTGAATGTAATGCTTCAGGGGACATCACGTGACCCGAAGGGCGAATCATACCACTAGACCAATTGGGCTCAAGTTGCAGATTTCTGCACACTTTCTGTTCTTACTTTCTAGATATCTTTAGCGATAAAATCTGATATTGGTGTTAACTGCCGATGTGACTACCGGTGTGACTGCCAGCACAACATATCCCGCGCCCTAATACTGAAAGCGGTCTGCCCCATCAATTTGTAAGGTATCTCTGGGGGAATATTCAACATGTCTACAAATTGATACCTACTTAGTCTTAAAGCTTTCGATAACTACCTCTTACACACCCTTGTCAGGATCATAAAACACCCGTAAAAGACACACAGTGGAGTCACACAGTGGGTGGTCTGCCAACTCTCCCAGAAAGACCAACATGTCCCACCAGCTTTATATAGTGCCATCCAAACTTGGGTAGAGCTGATTCGCTGAGTGACAACAATCACAGCCATTTCTTATGCATCTACAGTTCTGACGACACCAACCAAGAATACACGTTGCATGCCTGAGGCAAGCTCAAGCATTCTAGGTAGGTACTTATTCAGTATAGGAGTGGCTCACGAAAGTGCGCAAATCATCATCCAAGGCCCGGATGGTCGTGAATGGTGGGACACCTAATGGAAGATCCTCCTTCCTATGACTTCACGATAGAACGTATAGGGTTTACTTAACAGAATTAAAGGCTGAGCGGTAAGATATCCATTCTGTATACATCACGGAGAGGCAGGGTTACCCGTCAAGCTCAGGCACAAATCACAGAACTATATAACACAAGTCCTACCGTTCCACGTGCTAGCCCCTCAGCCCCAAGGAGAATATTGTCGGTTCAAAGACTCGAGTAAGTCACTGGAATTGTTTAGTATTTACATCTACATGCCTTTGTTCTTCTATACATTACACATAACATATATATCTTTAACACATGAGAGCGAAGAAAAAAAGGTCTATATTCCAACCATCCAAACCCTCTAAAGCACAAGGCTCATCAAAACTACCGCCCCCGAAACCAAACCAAGACTCGGTCTCCAAGCCAACGCAGCATTCGACTCCGCGCTCGAGTCCTTATCACTACCACTGCCGTCCTTCCCATCCAATGCACCCGCTCCGTAGGCCCTATACCCACCACTCAAACTGGAATTGTGGCCCGTCGAGCCCTCCACGCAGTTAGTGCGTTTCGTATGCGCATTCCACGCCGCAGCCCACGCCTTCTCGGGGTTCACCAGCGTCTGAGCCGTGTACCAGATCCGACAATCGGCAGCCTCGTAGATATACTGCAGGGGAGTCTGCGAGGAGTCGCCCTTCCGGATCTGATCCTGGACTTGGAGACGGCTGTATGAGTCCCCGACACGCAGGAAGACCTGCTCGGTGTCCAGGATGCGGTGGATAGGGGACGAGTCGAGATCCGGCGCGATGCCGAGCTGCGTGGTGACGTTCAAGAGCTCGGGGATATCGTAGGAGACGGCGGAGAAAGGGATCACTTCGCCGCCCTTGGTGCCGCCGATGGTCTGCATGGGGCCGGGTTTGGCGCGGCCGCCGACGGTCACGGCTTTGATGCCGGCGATGTTCTTTAGCTCTTCGTGGAAGGAGGCGCACGAGGAGCCGCAGAGTCCGTCGGTGAACATGACGATGTTGTCGGCGGAGAAGGGCGCTTTCTTGTTGTTGGAGGCCTCGGTGAAGGTGAAGTTGCCGGGGAGGATGCTGCTGGGGTTACTGTTGGATAGCTGGGCAGGGATGTATAAGTTAGATACGAAGATCATCATGCCGTAAGTATTGACACTAGGGGAGTTGTAATGTACTCACGTTGTATCTCACGATCGATGAGAACTCGTCGTCGTTGAATTTATGAGGCCCGTAGAAGGAGTCCCACGAGGAGAAGGTCTTGCCGTTAGCATCGATAAAATTCCAGTACGACCAGTATCTCAGACTGTATCCCGAGGCGATACCTAGAAGACAAAATGGTCAGTCTAGCTCTGGGTACGGTCTGGTGGTTTAAACCTACCTAGCTCGGTATTCTTTTCTACCCACTTCAGAGCAGTCTCGTTGGTCTGGATGGCGTCGACGGCCTCGCCGACGAGTTTGAACTGGTCCTGGGCACGGTACCTCTGAGCACTGAAAGGTTCCTTGTCCGGGAAGAGCTGCATGAATGCGTCCAGAAGCAGGGCCGTTTCACCACCGCCGTTCTCGCGGAGATCGATGACAAGCTTTTTCTTGTTGGCCTGCGTGCACCTCTCCAAGAATTGTCGAATAACCTTCTGGAACTCTCTGTAGCCGGTCTCCTTAGGGTCGAAAGTGATGATCTTCAACACGGCAACGTCGGTCAGACCGGAGCCCGTCAGGAAGTAGCCGGCCACGGCGCCCAGGCTGTGCTCCACGATGGGATTGGGGTAGTCGTCGCTGGGGATGGTCTGTCTCTTCGCCCAGCGGCGGAGCGGAGCCCTCTTGAGGTGACTCTTCTTCATCATCTCCGAGTCGGCCCCGTAGCTGCTGATGTCGCCCGTGCAGAACGACTGGAAGAAGTCCTTGCCACTGGCGATGTCGGAGAAGTTCTGAGCGGTCATGGCGACGTTGACAACATCGCGCGTGGTGCCATTGGCAAACGTGAAGTTCGTGTACGCACCCTGGTATGCCTGTTGCACGAGGAAGTAGCCCCGCGACTCCTCCTGGAGACCCCGGTCCGCGAGACTGTTGTACCGGGCATCGGGGTTGATGTACTGCGAGTCGTCCGCCACCTCTTCCAGAAACTTCTGGACATCTTTGCCATTGATGGACTTGATCGGGGAGATGTCGATGCTGTCATCGTCCTTGCGGGCGAAGAGGTCCGCGGAAACGTAAGTCTTGGGCACGCTGGTGCCGTCTTCGGAGACGGTGGCCACGCCTAGCAGGCGCTGGAAGCTAAAGACCTGTAGGATGTCGGGCTCATAGTTGAAATGGTAGTTCCCGGTCCGGACGGTCAGCCGGTTGATGGCGCTCTGCACATCATATTCGCTGTCGTAGGAGTGGAGATTCTTCTTGATCTTGTCGAGCTCGCCGATAAGGTCCAATGGCCCTAGTTCCCAGGTCGAGGGAGGGTTCTTCAGCCAGCCCGTCTCCGAATGCCACTGCCAGAGGAGCTTCAGCTCGTCGATGAGTTCCTCATCGTCCTTGACAGCTACCGGGACGGACTTCAGACACTTGTACGCGGCCTCAGCGGCGATGTCCCCGGTATCACTATTCTCGAGAAGGCGGCTAACCACGGCACAGGGCTCGGTGGCAGCGGACGAGCTGGAGGAAGTGGCAGAAGTGGTTTGGGACGCAGAGGGTAGAGCGACTGCCAAAGCCGCCGAAGCGAGTGTAGCACCGAGAAGACGCATGTTGGGAAGATCCCGCAACGAGTGGGAGACCTTGTGTACCGTCCAATGAAAAGAAGAAAAACGGACAACAGAAGAAGCAAAGAACGATAGTGGCTACCAAAGAATCACCCTTCATTGACTGACAGGGAGCACAAGCGCTATACTTATATCCACAGGTCCGTCGACATGCGAGGAGCGGTGTAAAGGAGCCCTAAACGATATTGAGGATTCCAAATAATCGCGCGCGAGCCGTGCAATGACTCCTAGGGCTGGGGGAGCACAGGAAGAGGCTGAACAGGAGGCTCAGCGAACCTGGTGGAGTCCCGTCTGGAGAGTCAACGAAGTGCTCCGGACTAACAAACCCTGCGCCAACCGCCAAGGCCGCCGGCCATGATTAGGCTGCCAATCTTTTCACAGGTTAGCCTCGAATAAGGAGGCGAAGCCCAATGCTAAGGTGATCCTGGGATCGTAAGATGACCAGATGCGTTGCCAACGCATGCTTGAAGGATGGACACTGGACAACGGAAGAATGTCTATAAAACAATAATATTATTGTTTGCCCTCCAGCTTCCTAGGGCAGGGCAGCTTAGAGTAGGACAGACCACGTAACGTGGGTGTACACCGTGCTACCGATAAGATTCTAGCCCCCACGCACCCTCTTCTCCTCTAAGTTTGACACTAAACGGACAGCCTTATGAATGAATAGGATTAGGTACAGGAAGGATCAAGGAAGACCGGGGATTAGGGTTGCGTGCGGCTCTTCGGATCAGCGAGGAGTTCATTTATCTGATTCCTCTGCTGGCATTTCTAACGCTTTGGCTGGTCTTCTCATCTTTCATTCGTGAATGGCGCTCTAGTGAATATGCTCATTCCTTCGATGGTGGAATATTGTGTTCTTCTGAAAAGATAAACCAAGATCCCAATAATAGTAGCTTCGTACGAGATAGGCGCAACAAAAGAAAACGTTCCAAAAGATAAAAAGCGCATCAAATTTATGACGCATATATTTGGACTTGTTATAAACGCCTAGATTGTAGATCAACCGTTTATGCAAGGGCATTGGAATCCCGACTCCCTTTCATTGCGCCGTGCTGCCGCCATTCCTAGAATAAAAATGAGGGGAAAAAAGAAACGCCGCTACAATGAAAGCCCGTTTATCCTGAAAACTGGGAAGAATAGATAGTCGGTCTCGGTCCTACCGGGCTTGAGGCTGAAGATGCGCGTTCAATGTGCCAAGTGAATTTGTGCGCGGATGGTATCGATCGAAGGGTGGTGGTAGGAACAGAAGAGCCTGGGCTGGTAAAGGAAAAGGATGTATGTAGATAGTGAAAAGGGGGAAGAGGAAAAAAAATCTGGATATCCTTGGAAAATAAAACACAAAATGAGTTAGATATGAAAAAGAAATCAAAGTCTCGCAATTGATATGAGCCACAGCAAATTGAAGCCATCAAAGGGATATATCCAATCCATCTATCCGGATGGTTTGTGTGCATGAACCAGCGCAAAAGGACGATAACAAACAGGAGATAAACACAAAGAGACTCGTCTCGCCCATGATAAGTAACGTCAATGATTAAAAACATGTAACTGCCAGGGCATCACGATATGAAAGATGGGGCAGAGACAACCCATTTTTTGGCCCATTCGAAGGCATGTACAGAAACTGCAAAGGATATATGCAATAAAATCAAAATCAAAATCAAATCACAACTCCATCATCATGCATTGCGCGAAGACATCATCACATGTCAAAATTGTCATCAACGTTGAAGATGCCGGGCTCTCCGCCATCGCTGGTCTTCTGGACGCCACTCATGCGGTGGTCTGTCGAGTTCTGCTTGCGATGGGACCGGTGCCACGTTTCCGTGTCTTCGTCCATGTGGTCGCCGGGCTCGTTCTTCATGTGATGATCGATCGAACTCTCGTTGACGAACGTGAAACCCTTGAAGTTAGCTTGCATGCCTGGTGAGAGCGGTGTCGACGCCGTCATAAAGCCGTTGGCAACGGCGGCCGCTCGGTCATTCAGTGAGGCATTGAGCGCATTGGTAAACTCAGGATCGAAGTTGGAGGTATCCGTGTCGGACTTGAGGATCGGTTTGAAAGGCGGAATGACTTCCTTACGGCACAAGGCCTCCCAGTCGACATCGTGGAAGAAGGGGTGCTCCATGAGCTCCTTAGCATCGCCCTTGGCCCCGAGTCGGTGTTTCGGGTTCCGGTTCAGCAAGCCTTTGACGAAGTTCCTTCCCTCCGTGCTGAGAGCGTCTCGCGGGAACCGGACCTTGCCGAAGGCGATGTTCTTGTACATCTGCTGCGTGTCTTCGGCGTAGAAAGGACTCCAGCCGCAGCACATCTCAAAGACAAGGACACCAAGCGACCAGAAATCAACCATCTTGGTGTATCCTTGCTCATCGAGCAACACCTCCGGAGCCAGGTATTCCGTGGTACCACAGAAAGTGTTGGTAGTGTCGTTCTGGGTAAGATTCGCTTTAGACAATCCGAAATCGCAGAGAGCAATGTGACCGTTTGCATCGAGTAGAATGTTTTCGGGCTTGAGGTCGCGGTAGACAATGTCGTGCTCGTGCAGATGCTGGAGAGCCAAGATCAGCTCGGCGATGTAGAACTTGGCGCGAGCTTCTTGGAAGCGCCCCTCCTTTTGCAGATGCCAGAACAGTTCACCGCCCGACATATAATCCGTCACCAGATAGAGATCCGTGGGGGTCTGAAAGGAGAACTTGAGGCCAACGATGAAGGGAGACGCGGCCATTGCCGTGCGGACCAGAATGTTTCGCTCCCCGAGAGTGTGAGCCACTTCCTTTTTCTGGATGATCACCTTCTTCGACAGGACCTTCATCGCATAGATTCGGCGCGTATCCTTCTTCTTGACTTGGTAGACTTGGCCGAACGTGCCCTTCCCGATAAGCTTCAGAATCTGGAAGTCATTAGGGCCCACCTGCTTCTTCTCCGTTCTCTCAAACCGCATTTCCAGGTGAATCTCGCCAGATACTTGCGAGTCACCGGCTCCCCGAGCCTTTAACGGGAACCATCCTTCCAGCCGGCTGTTATCTTCGTTGAGGTTGACGCAGAGTCGGACATGGCCCAAGAACGCTTCCTGATCTTTACGGTCGTAGACCGAAATGTCGACCTCGGATTTGTCACCGAGCACATCACTAATGATATTTGTCAGCGAACCCGTGCGCGAAGCTGCAGTTTTGGCAGTATTGTGATGTCGAGTGAAAAGGGCAAAGAGGAAAGCGAAGATAGAATCGTAGAAAAGCGGTGACTTACAAGGTAGCTTCGTGGTTCCAGTGGGGGTCAGTAACCGGGGCCCGAATCCTGTGATCAGGGCCATCGAGGGCACTGTTGTTGCTACTTTGGCGGCTTTTCATGGGAATGGCCATGGGTCGACCAGTCTCAAGCTCCGACTTTTCTTGCTCCTTTTGCTGGCGTTCTATCGAGGCTTCTTCTTCATCTTGGGCGCTTTTCGAGATGCACTCATTCCATTCAAACACACAGACCACGTAAGGATCGAAACCCGGTCGGAGTCCTCGAGCCTGGGAGATGTTGACATAAAGCTGTCCCTTGAGCGAGCCAACGGGCGGTTCAGTGGTCGGTTGAGGGCTTTCGGACGGAGACGGGAAGGCCTCGTTGAGCTTGCCCGCGATCTCGTCGGTGGACTTGGCGATCTCGTCGGATTGCGTGGGCTCCGAAGTGGGGGGCGCGGAGGTGTTGGGTTTCTTATCGACTTGAGAACCTTCGTTGGACATGGCCCGCGGCGTGAGAGGGGGCGTATTCTTTAAATGCGAAAGATCAGACACATTTCCAGTTAGCTTCGCAAGGTTCTCAGAAGACGTAGAAACGAGTGGCTTCTCATGGTCGAAGAGGGGAGCTTCCGGCAAACACAGGGCATCTGCAGTGCACGAGAGGGTAGGGTTGGAGAAGTGGGTGGCAAGGACTGGATCGCCCGAGATGCTCGAGACTGGGTGAGAGGTGTGGCGGCGGGCGGGAGGCTCAGGGGAGGAGTTCCCCGAAGGGGAGAGATAATTCTTTAACGCATTAAAGATCGACCCCATGCTCTTGTCGGGGCCCGAAGACCCCAATTCCGCCTCGTCCGAGTCTTTCTGAAGAAGGGAAGATGCGGAGCAGTAAGGAGGGGTTGGTAGATTCGTCGGGGGCAAATTCTCCGGCGTTACAAAGTGATTGTCTCGGGCAGCGAGCGACGACCTCATCTCCGAAGCCGCGTCGCGTCCCGTCATGACATAAGAGCCTGGGGAGGAGGAGGAGGAGGAGGAGGAAGAATGGCCGGAACTTCGGTGATCCCGTGTCCGTGTCGTAGGCGCATTCGACTGTACATAGTACACGGAGGCAGGAGTCTCAGAAGGAAAGGTCCGTGGTTTGGAGGGGTTGGGTTGATCACCAGAGGGAACACCAACCTGAAGGAAGTTGTGCATTATGGATGGCAGACGTTTGTCTGAAGGATCGGGTTGCGGTGTAACGACTCCCGTCGGACTGGGACTTTTGGAACCGATCTGATCCTGGTTGTCGTCGTCATGCAGACCGTGACTGTGGAGGCGGTTAGTCATTGATATAACTCGCGACGATAAGTTGAATTTATTGAAGAAACATCGGCCAAAGAACATAATGAGGGATGGTGGCGGGGTATTGGATTATTGGATCATGAATGAAAGGCGCCCATCATGAGGCGAGAAAGGGAAGGGGAAAAACGACAGTGGCCAGCAGTTGGGAGGGAAGGAAAAAGTCAAAGCTGCAGGCGAAATGCAAGTTCTTCTTCCAGAAGGCGAACGGTAAGGCTGGAATGTAGAACTTTGGATGCTGCCTCTTTTTCTTTTTCCTCTTTTTTTTTTTTCTTTTACTCTTCCCAACCCAATGATGCGACAAGGCCGGGTGGACAGCAAAGCAAAGCTACCCCAACCGATGCGTCTCAAAGTTCAAGCTGCAGTGCCAGCGAATCGAGGGAAATTTTTGCTTGGGTTTAAATTTTCCGAGTGCAAGAATAGACCAATTTGCACCTCGATTCCAGCATTGAACCCCGGACAATGAGAGCAGGGGGCAAAAAAAAGCACAGTTTGGCGGCATGATTAAGCGAAAGTTGTGTTACTCACTTTTGAGATAGCGGCTGCTTTAGCAATTCGGCATCGACATGCAAGCCAGGCCCATTTTGAGTGGCCATGATTATCTTTCCATTCGACTTCCGAGTCTAGTCACGCAGGAAAAGAGATAGACGGCGACGAGAAAGAGTGAAAAGGAACGAAACGTGAGTCAATCGTGCGCCAGAGAGACCGATGACGGAGTGGCGAATGAATATACGGGGGGATGAAGGCGGTCAAAGTGCGAGAGGAAGAAGAGAAGGAAGAAAGAAGGGAAGAAGAAGAGAAGTCTGGGCGGAGAGAGAAGGAAGGTTGAAGGAAGTTTGCGGGAGGGCGAAAAACGTTGGATCTCGGTCGGATTCGGAAGAGACACAAGAGATGGAGGGGTTGACGACTGGTTAATGTGGGCGCGGGTCGTGAGAACGTTACGAGGGACGATCCGGGGGATTCATCGAGTGTCGAGCGATGAGAGAGAGGAACAGAAGAGAGACGGGAGGACCGAAAGACAAGGTACAAGAGACACGAGTCAAGAGAGAAAAAAAAAAAAAGAATTGAAGACCGACAGAGGGCGATAGTTAGGGATTATTATGGATTCCTAGTTTCTTACTCAGGCGAAAGCCGACCTGAAGAAAGCGAAAGAACCGAGTGATCAGCCACGCCGCGGTGGATGAGCGAACCGGCCAGTCTGGGATTAGCGCCAGGCCCGAACGAACAATAATTTAAAATTGAAAAAAATATCCAAGAATCGCAATGTGGATTGACACCAATAATTCGTATTGGCCTCGCTGCGGGATTTCCCCAGACGCTGGTTGTGTCCGCTGTCTCTGACGGTGGTTCCGGTGGCAATGCCTTCAGATTTTGTTCGATAGCCGGGCGTATCTCGCGTCAAGAAGGGGACAGGCGAGAGAGGTGAGGTGAAGTGAAGTGAGAATGCAGAAAGAGCAGGTAAAAATAATAGTAAAAAGATAAAAAATTTTTTAAAAAAAAGGCCCTGCAGCGGTGGCGTTTTACAGCGAAAGCTGAAGCCCAAAGACCAAAGCTGCCGCTGATGCCGCTCTGTGGGTGTGGTACGGAGGGTATATAGATGGGCAATAATAGCAATCAATATTCAACCATCACTCGATGACATTGAAATTGGAAGAAATAGTACGGGTTCTCAGGATCATTGGGATCAGAACCAGAACAATAAAAATGATAAGAGCGATGACCCGAGTCACGAGAGTGATCCGACTAGGGCGAGGTGATTGTAGTAGATGTGGATGTATGTATGGATGTATCCCAGAAGTATTCTGTATTCTTGTACTGAACGGTACGTGCCCGTAAGCTTCCAATAGGAGACGCCGTACAAGGTCGAGTCTGTGTCCGAGTCTTAATAGAAGTGTGGAATCCAATCTAATCAGAGGATGAGGGTCGCGTCTTCTTTATTCTTTCTCTCGCAGTTTCATCCTTCGCATTCCTCAAGTTCCTGACCTCCTATGGATACGAATCTCCAATTCGAAACCACGGGTGATTCTGGTTGGTAGCAGGGAAAAGCTTCGGGCAAACCCAATGTCATTAGCAGTCAAAGCTGCCCTGATCCCTAGAAACAGGCGAGGGCGAGAAAATGGGGCTGGCCCTTTTTCCTTTTTTTATTACCTTTTTCTTTTTTGGGTCGCCAGAAAAGAAAATGGGGAGGAAAAAAAAGGCCTCACACCCGGTGGAGACGGCGGTGTTGCTGGCAAATAGAGAAGACCGTGATGGAACCACGGAGCCACATTTCTCTGCTGACTGATAGGCAATGAGAGCTAACAATCTGGCGGAATTATGAGATGATAGGGCTCCCCCTAAGAACGAAAAAGAAAAATCGGAGACAGGACGGTTGGCTGGAAGGGGGACAACTCCGTATGCTAGGCGCCGCAGGGAGAATGCTGAAACATGCTGGATTCTCTGAGACCCGACAGCTGGATAGCCGGACGACCGAACGTCGCGAGGAATTCCATCATCGCGCCTAAAAATAATCAAAGAAACAAAAGAAGGAAGGTGACAGCACAGGTCCGATGATGAGACGCAAGTTGGCATGTGTCCATCTCGTTTTGGGGGGGAGAAGTTGGGTCTCGCAGTGATTCGTCGTCGGGAGGAAACCGGGAAAATGGGGCTTTCCTCGTGTGGACGTCGAGTCCGTGGATGTGTTGGAGGCCGCTCCTTCGGTTGCCTGCTGCACATTGCCAGTTATCTACACTTTATTTCTTCCTGCGAACTGGAGTATATTATGGATTATTAGGTTGCCTACTCCAAATGCCCCCCTCACAAGGATTTGCCATCCTTCTTACGGAGGATCTCTTCGACCACCGTAGGGAATAGAGGTTCAGCCTCTCTAGGACCTACTCAGTGTTACTGTACTCAGTAGTGTACTCCGTTGAGTCAATGCGATCAATATCCTAATGATCTAATCCCTAGCAAAAGTGGGGTTGGACTCCATCGATGTTGTCATCGGGCCGATCGTGGATTTCGTCCATGTACGGCGGCGTATACGGAGTATTACGGAGTACATCAATATACTCACTGAGTACTGCGCACTAGAATCATCTCCGACCTGCTAGAAGGAGGCATGTAGCAATTCTTTTCTATCAATTAACCTATCAGCACTCTCGTCAACGGCGCTTGACCGTCACAGCATCGACCTTCCCCATCGGGGTATCCACTTCCCATTCCAGTCGATCGATGACGATGAATAAGTTTCTTCTCCTCATCCTGGCCATTTTGATTCATGCATGAAGGGATACTACGGGATAATCCCGGAGGATGTGCAGCCCTGCGGTGATGGCTGCTTGGCAAATCATCGTGTCCTGCCTGCTTTCCTAATATGCCCGTCTACGGTTTACCTGATAACTACTGTTACACCGTAGACTCCAGGGTCCAGACAGCAGGAATACCTCTCAGGTACGTCTTCGACCGTCTCCTTACATGTCCAAATCAAAATCACCGGTTCAGAACAGCTGTTCAGCAAGGTCGCAAGGCCCCTTCTGGCGTTACACCAGGTCAGTGCAGCTGGTGGCCTCGGGCGTCGTGGGAACGGTGGCCGAAGGTCCGTCCGATTTGACGGCAGGATCAGCTGGCCACCTTCAAGTGCAGCTGCGGAAGAGGTGAACTGAACGATCGAGTGGTCTTATCGGATCCCCCTTGAGTTCGATAGCAGGCCAACCCTAGCTACTGACTTAGCTTCCGATCTCCAATCCTGGCTTCCTGGCGATTTGCGTCGCCCTCCAATAACGCGGGCACCCCGTCGGGAGCCTACAGGAGAAGACCTGCTCATAGCCACGGTGATCTGTCGATTACCAATCTATTTGCATTTTCGCCCCGGTCGGCAAGGGAGGGGATAGAGGAGGGGGACAAAAAGAAAAGGTGCGGGCTGAGGCTACTTGGACGCAGTCAGTAGGCAGGTCATCTGCAGGCGGCGGCGTGGTTGTGTAAGTGATCTGCGCGGCATGCAGCATTTTGTTTTGTCACAAAGAGCAAAAACTGCGAGGGGAGAGAAGAGCAGGACAAGACACCTCCGATTAAGCCCACGACCGAGTCTCGCTCGGACGATGCACGGGGGAGAAAATAACCTTACCGAGACATGATGAGCGATCTCGAGCAGGTTATTGTCCGGGGAGTCGAAGAATAATGTCATCCCTCCCCTCTGCCCCTCCCCCCTCTCCGGTTGCATCTGATGTCGAGAAAATGCGGAGCTTGTCCAATGCCCACCACGGTCAAGCTAACGCTCCGTAGGCGCCGGTGGAGCGGAGGAATTCGAGAATTCCTTCCAATGACCTTTCCCCTTCGAGAGTTTCGATGACATGTGAAATGGAAATCGAAGCAGGATTGCAGAGTGCAGACCCATCCCATACGTCAACCACAATGTCTGTGCATACCTTATCGTTGAGTCACTCCGTCGGTGTCCATCTCGAAACCGGGCTGTCTGGTGTTCTCGAAAAGGTGCTAAACATAGCTTCCTGGCGAATGACCGGTGGGGAATCGTCCTTGGGAAGAATGTATTGGGAGTGGGAGCACTGGACACGTCAAGTGGCCTGAATGGTCTCCAGCGACCATCGGTGTAGAAGGGTAGAACCGTAGACTGGCCGTGTACCTACTCAAAGGGTGATTGTGCTCCGGAGGGGATGGCGATGACATCATGCGGCAGATCCCCGAGCGCCAAGAAAGTCCATGGCTGGTTCTCGATCACAGCACGTGACCTTGACTGATTCCTGAGGCAGAAACAGGGACTGCATCATGTGAGCATTCATCCCGGTCCCGGAGCGGCAGATCATCCGACCGGTCCTGGCGATGCTGCGGAAGGACTGAGGCTAAAGGGCGTCGAGCAATAATTCCATCGCCGCGTTCGCAGTTTTTGGCTCTCACGTCCAACCCAATCACTTGGTGTCGCGATGGCTAGGAAGCTTCGAGCAGCTGCCCAGGCAGCCGCTCAATCCCTGAGTAAGTCATTGACTGCCCCCGTTCCCCTTTTCTGCGCCTTTTTGGGATTTCTCGCAGACAAGTATCCCATGGGCGCGTGTGTACTAACAGATCCCGAGGAAACGCCCCTCCGCCCCTCCCCGATGCCTCCGACGAAGAGATGGGCGATGCACCCGTCTCGAACCCGTCCAGCCCGGCCATAGAGGACCCCGGAGACGCGTCGGAAAAGGAAGACGATCCCGACGTCGAAGCGCAACCCGAACCGGTCCCGGAGGAAGAGACCGCCGCGACGCCCACGCAGGAGTCCAATACCCCGTCGCGAGCGGATACACCTACGCGCACCGGTGGTCGCCCTTCCGCGATCCCGCGAAAACGACGCATAGGCCGACCGCCGAAGAACCGTCCGCCGGATTGGGATGCGCCCGAGGACGGAGCGCCGCAGACACCTATTCACACGAGCACGCCGGTGAAGAGGAAGCGAGGACGTCCGGCGGCGAGTGGAGGACGATGGGCTCGAAACCGGGGCCCGTCCCACGTCACGCAGGTGCCCATTGACAAGGAAGGGAACATGATGGACGTGATCGACGACGAAGTGGCCCTTCCGGACGACCCGGAAGGCGAGACCAAGGTTGACAAGAACGGCCTTCTGAAGGGGGATCGAGAGTACAGGGTGCGCACGTTCACGATCCTCAACCGCGGCGAGAGATATTACATGCTGTCTACGGAGCCAGCTCGCTGCATCGGCTTCAGGGACTCGTATCTGTTCTTCCAGAAGCACAAACTCCTCTACAAGATAATCATCGACGACGAGGCCAAACGCGACCTCATCGAGCGCGAAATCATCCCCCATTCTTACAAGGGTCGAGCTATCGGCGTGGTAACCGCCCGGTCAGTATTCAGAGAGTTCGGCGCTAAGATCATCGTGGGCGGGAAAAAGGTCGTCGACGACTACCATGCTCAGGCAGCACGAGAGCGCGGCGACGTTGAAGGCGAAGTTGCCGTCCCAGAGGACAAACTCCCCGGGCCTGGAGAGCCGTACAACAGGAACCAATACGTCGCGTGGCATGGCGCCAGTAGTGTCTATCACACGGCCGTGCCTTCGGTCCCTGTTCCCGTGGGGAAGGCGGTTGATTCGAAAAAGCGGAAGATTACCGTTACGGGGGATAATTGGATGCTTGAACATGCTCGTGAAGCTAGGTGAGTGAACCCGTTTCCGGTTCGTTTCTTTAAACACGTCATTCTAACGACTCATTGCCTAGTAACTACAATGCTCTCATTTCGCATGCTCGTCGCGCAAACCTGGACGGATACTACGACATCCACACCAATGTCTTGCAGTACCCGAAAATCATGCAGCCCACGCATGCGCGCTGGGAGCGTTTACCCCCTCCTGATCCGCGGGTCGCGACCAAAATCACTCAGGAACTGTCGACTCTCAGCCTGACGAATGGCAGCGACGAGGGCGAGGAACCTCCTGTCGAAGCCTCGACCGCCCCAGATGAAACGCAAGAGAACAACGAGGAAGAAGAAGCTGGCAAGGAATCGATCTTCTCCACCATCCCGGCTGGGCTTTCGCGGCGGTTCGCCATCCATGACGTTCACTACGAGACGCCGCCACACTCCAATCTGGGGATTCCCGGCCCTGACGGCGACGTACATGATCTCGGCTCGAACGGCTTCGTCAGCGTGGCCAACCCGTCGAATCCGGAATTCCTGAGCCCCGAGATCCTGGAGGAGCTGCCGGCCGAGTGCAAGGAAGCTCTCATCGAGGCGGCCGCGCAGGAGTGCGAATGGAAGTCTAAATGGTGCAGCGAGGCCACTGATAGTGCTCGCAGAGCCCCTCTCAAGAGTTACGCATGGTTCCCTTAACCGGGGTTACAAGTGTGAAAAAGCCAGTCCTTCAGACCTGAAAATACAGGCTGGAAAAGGGCTACAACCTACTCTTGATTTATTCGTTGAATCCCTTTCTTCCCCATTTTTTATTAGCTCCTTTTATTTTATTTGGGATGGGCGGGATACATTTCTCCCTGGATGATGGTATGAGACAAAAACCCGGAGTTCAATGTGTCGTCTACTTTTTTTTCTCTTTCTTTCAATAGTTAATTGGTGGTGTCCATTCTCAACAAATTTAGTGTGGCCGTTACTGTCTGGTCTTCATCTTTTGTCTATGTAATAAAAGGTGGAAATAGTGACTCTTTTTCTTTTCTTTCTCGGCTGCTAACAATGCAAATTAGACCTGTTAGATAAGGTCCTCTTTCTTTTTGGTCCGGTAATTCTCCGTTTGTAACTTGAATCCATGTGGACACGAGCCCTCAGATAATTAGGTATATTTATGCTCCTTCGCCTCTTCTAGCGGTGTAGAAACTGATACGTTTTACGATTAATGCAACCATGCGATGCCACTAAGGCATGGATAATACCAGAGCAATGGATCTTGAAAAAGACATTTTTTGGTTAGGACATAGACTTGGGTCTTTAATGTAGTTAAGGCGAACTAATAGAATATATAGATAGATGAAAACCATGCAACGCCGCGAAGTAGGTTTAGCAGGCTAGGCAGGTTAAATAAATAGAGCCCAGAAGAGGAAGAGAAGAAAGATGAGATATCCATCGTGAATGGGATGGTAGAGGGACGTTTATGAGACCAATCAAGAAATGCAAAAAAAGAACCTAAAATGTAGACAGACACAAATAGACAGAGCAGGAGACAAAAAAGAAATAAGACACCTTCTGTCGATGAATCCCGGACTTTCAAACAAGAGAAGAAACAAAATAAAGCCAAGGTTCAGCTGCAGATGGTAGATAAAACTCCGTTAGTCGCGATGACATGGACGCATGATTGCTGATTGAACGGTTATGAGGAAGGGGAAAAAACGCAGAGAGAAGGTATTGCTCATATAGGGGACCTAATAATGGAAAGAGAAAAAAAGAAGAGCATGGCAAGAGAAAGACAAGGGCTTCGTTTTATAATCATCACATGGCCATCTCTGCACGCAGCTTCTCCAACTCTGCTTCCTCGTCTTCTTCCTCGGCCTTCTGTGGTTTGTTCTTGACTGTAAGGGTGGATTGCATGATTAGAATACATTTTTCCTATGTGGATAAAGAACTTCAGAAGGTATGACTTACGTTCCCCAGTCCCCGCGGCAGGTAGCCGATTGAGTTGATCTGAGACGGGTACCGTGCCGGTTTTGAGCATGCGCTCGTCCATGGCCTCCTGTTCCAAACCCTCGAGTTCTGCGTCCAACTCGGACTCGTCTGGCTGTTCGCCGAGCGGGTTGTTCGCGATGACTGATGCGATTTCCTCGCTGAGTTGATGTTGATCCCGGAGTTGATCCCTTCCCAGCTGTTAGTATGAATAGTCGCAACGGATTGTTCAAACTCAGCACATACATTGTCTCGTCCACCTTGTCGATAGTCAACGAGCCATGGATGTGGCTCATGGCTGTGTTAGCCGACTTTATCGCCTCCAGAGTCTTCTGGTTGATATTCGCCGTTTCGATCGAGTAGATCTGCTGTTCCATCTGGGCGACCTGTGCCGTAGTCTGTTCGAGGTTCTTCTCATGGACCTTTTTCCTTCGGAGAGCAGCCTTAGCGGCTGAAGTGCGGTTGCGTTAGTTGGATTATAATTCTCTCAACGACAAGCAATGAACAGTGATCGGGGGTCCGAATCCATACCGTTCTTATTTGTGCTGATATTCTTCTTCGCCACATTCTCTTGCTCTTCCATCAGAGTTGTCAAGTGCGCCTCTCGCTTTTGAAGCATTTCGAGATGTTCTCGTAGCGCCAGGATCGCCTCCTTGGGCGCATCCTTCCGCTTTTGGGCAGCGGCGCCACCAAACCACGACCACACCATGACGGATAGAGATGAGACGAGACGTGCGTAGATGCGGATCTTGGAATCGATGACCCACTCAATACGAGGGTCTGTTGGGCGGAGATGCAGAATATGTACTCTGGAAAGGTCTGGAAAGAAACTTTCTTTGCGATCGTCTGACAACAGATCTGAGAGATCGGCGGGATTCAAGGACGAAGATAAGAGGCGAGGGGGACGAGACCAGACGAGATTCGGAGGGGGAGATACCGCGCGATCGGATCTTACGCCAGACAGAAGGTAAATGACTTGAGGGATAGCAAGGTCTCCGGGAAAGAGAGGAAGAATGTTGCCGACTAGCAGAGACGAGAGGAGTGAGAGAGCGAGGGCGAGAGTAGGCGACGGCGATGGAGGAACTGCGTTTTCCCCTCGTTGGCCGATGACATACGCTGAGCCTATCGGATGCGGTGTGTCACGTGCCACCGGGCCTTATAGAAACCAAAATAACTTCACCTTTCCGCCTTCTTTCCTCCTTTCTATCATTCTCCGTTCCCTCGATCTCGGAATTTCCCTGCTCTTATCGATGATGCCCCGTTCACTTCGAACTTTCGAGGGATGAACGGTCCCCTTCCCTCCAGGAGAACCTTTCTCTCCGACCTCGCCGCTCTCCCCGCTGACTGCAAGGTCCGTTTCCTGGGCTGGTGCGTAGATCATCTGATTCTTTGTTATTCCCGTTCATATGACACTCCCCGCTGATTCATTGGTATTGTTTCCAACCTTTAGTGTAAGAACTTATTCCGTTTCCACGGGCCATTTGATACTAGAGCATCACTATCCCCGACGGAAATCAATCACTGATATACCAACCGTATCGGTTGATATCAACGCAGTCCTGGAGACCGTCACGTCGGAGGAGCTGCGCGTGGGTGCATGGGTCAATGTGCTCGGCTACGTGAGACGGTCAGCAAATGCCAGTGAGACCGTCTATATCGAGGCGGTCATGGTCTTTCCCGCCGGTGCGATCGCACTTGGAGAATACGAAAGAATTCTTTATGATTCAATGGAGGTCGAGCGGAGAGTCCAACGACCAACCTGAAGTATTGCTTCATTACTGAGGGCTTCCCTAGCCCGAAAGATGCGGTAAACCGAAAGTCTTCGTTGCATTCATTAACCGGTCCATTATCTATTATCTTTGTCTGACTATGTTCATGATTTATGGTTTATGGCTCGCCATGAATAAAAATGCCATAAATGCGCCTCGAGAAGAGCGACCAACTCTGGTCGCGCCAACCATGTGGGGAATAGGAACTTTTGTATGCGAAAAACCACAAATGAAGATCAGTCATAATCGACATCTCAGGCGTTGCCCTCAACCTATACCTTCCACTTCTTGTCCTCTTCATACCTCCATTTTCTCCTTCTCCTTCTCTGTTGCCTCCGCTTGGGCGGCGGCGGCCTCCAGCCGCTGCATCAGTCGCTTCCGCTTTCCTTCCAGTCGTCTTTTATCTTCTTGCATGCGCCTGATCAGCGTACTCTTCTCTCTGATCCTATACCCGTATTTATAAAACACAAAAGGGATCGGGATAATGAGGACCTCGAGCAGGCCCAGCAGCGTACCGGACCAATTGGGCCCGATTCCCGCGTACATATACGTGCCAACGAGTGGCAGAACACCTCCAAGGACACTTCGTATGACGGAGTTACCCGCCATGGCGGATGCAGCGTACACGCCGTAGCTGTAAGTAAGGTAGTTGGACGCGTATATGAAGACACCGGTATTTCCCGCGCCAAAGAGGACGCCTGCCAGTATGGGCACTATCCAGTGGATGGAAGCCGGGGCACAGGTCCACGCGAACCAGAGTTCACCGGCGGGGATGAGAATGGCGGAGATACAGACGATCGATACCATGGCTTCCGGGGCCACTTTTCCGGTCTCAGGGTCGATGCGATGGCTGTTGATCATGCGACGGATCAGCGGTTCGCATACGATGGTGATGAGACAGCCAGTGCCGATGCCTAGGAATGCCAGACCCGAGAGGCCTAGCGACCATCCGCGAATGTCACGGAAAACGATGGGATAGGCCGTGAAGCAAAGGTAAAGAATGCCGTAAACGATGGCAATATAGATGTTCCAGAATATACTGAGAGTCTGTTAGTTCATCGTTGAAGCGGCCTTTCAGGAGGACTGGCTCTTTGGCTCACCAGATGGGCTCGGTTACGGCCATAACAAATGGCCGTCCCAAGTTCACTTTCAACATCTCTCCGAGGCTGGTCTTCTGGTCGTATCGACTCCACCAGCGCGAATCATCGGTCTCCTTGCGTAGACGCGCTGCCTTTTTCTGAAGGATGATGGGCCCGTACGTCTCCTCCATGACACAGGAGAAGGCCAGCGCCACGCCCGACAGGATCAACGCTATCCAGCACATCCATCGCCATCCCAAGTACTGCGTGACAAATCCTCCAATAATGGGACCCAGCACTGTATGATTTGATAAGTAAATTACCGACACCAATTGAAACCCAAGACAGGGACGAACCTGGACCATTCACGGGACCAATACTCCAGATCGACATGGCTAGAGCCCGCTGCTCATCATTGACTAGATCCGATACCATTCCTGGGGCGGTGGAAATCATGACACTTCCGAACAGGGCGCCAATGAAGCGTACCACGATGAGTGCCTCCACAGATTTAGCCAGGGCACAGGGGATGATCAACACGGTGAAGATGAACAGGCAGACGATGGAAACCGGCTTTCGGCCGTACACCTCACTCAAGGGTGCCATGAACATGGAGCCAATTGCCAGGCCAATCAGATAGAATGTCAAGCCCAAGGTGACGATGGTATTAGAGGAGTCGAATTCCGCAGCGATCTCTGCCACACCCGAAGTGTACGAGGTTGAATATAGGACGCTGGAGCAGAGTCAGTCAGTCAGCCCGTTCACCAAAGCCATCGAACAGCGAACAAGGATAACCACGCACACGATCAGAGTATTATACGATAACACCGCAATACCGAAAGCCTTGTATTTCAGTGACCAGTTCTTGGGATTCGTCCGATCCTCCTCGTCCTCGAAGTCGACCTCGTAATTCGGATCCGACGTCCCGTTGGTTGCGATGGATGTGATCTTCCGAGCCAAAGAGGGCTGGGACAGGCGAGACGCATGGGCCGACAGGCTCTGGGCCAGCGCTTCCACCTCGATAGTATCCTCGGACGTGGTTGAACTGTCGATAGAATGGGTATCTGCTGGCGTGGACTCATGGCGATGCTGGGGCCATTTTTGTGACTCAGGCGGGGGATGCTGGGACGCGGACATATTTCTAGAAAATGGTGGAAGGACCAGCCTCCTACAATTCGGCTTGGGTTGCTAAGGGCTCAGTCTATAGTATGTCTGTTTGTGAGAAGATAGAGTATGAGAGTATGAAAGTAGAGAAGTAAAGGTGGAAGATGGGGGGGAGGGGGAAATATAGCGTCGAACTATTTCAAGCGGGCAGTCTTTTTCTCTCTCTTTTCTTTTCCTTTTTCCTCCCCAATAACTGTCTGTAGACTTCCCAAAGCTGCCCAATATTAAGTAGTTAGTGGTTATGGAAAATAATGCAATGCACCAACAAGCCCCGTAAACGTCAAAGGGAAAAAAAAAAAGAAAGAAGCTCTAAAACGCACTAACTAGCAGCACCTTCGGAGGAAAAAAACAAAAAAGGAAAAAAAAGGCCAAGGAATCCAGCAGTGGGCAGGATTCACAGTTTTATTTCCAGTGCGAAGATTAGCGTCTACTTAATTCTTAATAATGAGCCAGGTAGGTGGGGCCTTGAGTGCTATAACTAACTTATAACGTATCTGACTTGATAGTTGATAGTTGATAAGGTTGTCATGAATAATGAGAAGGATTCCCCATCGTCTACCGTCCATTGTCACCTCCGCCTACGTATTGAATACTCCAGTCCTTCCTTCTTCATCCAGGGACTAGGATCAAAACCAGGATCGCTCATGACCTTACTAGGTCCTCCCCGGTTATGTTCTCCACCACCAAAGCCCGGGGGTGGTTCTGGAGGGAAACAAGAAGTAACCGAGGTCGTTGCAGGGACGGCGGTTGCGATTTCATTGTCCAAGTCCCGGTTGTGGGAGCAGAGGCCGAGGCCACCAGAGAGATCGTCAAGAACATTACTCTCCGGAATACTTTGATGGGTCTGCGCTTTCCGAGTCCCCACCTCTCACGGCGATTGCCAGTTGCAACTTGCAAACTTGGAATGCATGTATGTATTAGTTTGTGAGATGTGAGGTGTGATACGGACCCTGTAGGTGCTGACCGCTGACTGTTGAGTGGAGCGTATAACTACCTAATTGCCTATCAGTATTAAATATCATTAGTTCCTTTGCGGCCTTAGCATACGGTGGTACAGACAGGCAAGGTAGACCGACAGATGGGTGTGTCGTGCAAACCTCCCACGGCAGGATATCACAATGGGGCCATCCGCTAAAAGTAAAACTGGAGGCCTAAACTTCCCCACGGGCCATCGTGGTGGATGGCGTGACTCCTCTACCCCAGACGGGGATGTTGAGAGAAGAAAGAGAGAAGTGAGGACAAATGCCAAGGGATGAGATGCATCCTCGCTCGGGTCCGGTTTGCCGCGCGTGCCGGTTTGCCGATTTCTTTCTGTCTGTCTTTGTTTCTTGGGTATCCATGCGGCTTGGGACTTGGGACTTGGGACTTGGGATTTGGGATTTGGGAACTGGAATGCTTTCTACGGAGTGCTCCGGTCTGGAGTTGGTTCTCCACTTCCACGATCCACCCGGAACTGTCCCCGGCTTGATTCCGAAATTCCGAAGTTATCGATCTGAAATCTCTGGGGTGCTTTCTCCCACTCAATAACTAAATTAGTTATAGTAAATATATAAATTATGGTCAATACACCAGTGTAAGATACCGTATCCGTACCTGCTGACGGGACGGCACGTGGGCCCTGCAGGGACTGAATGCCCGAGGTTGCATTCTGCCAAGCATAGGTGCACCTCACCCGCCTCAATCGACTTCCTTCATTTAGATCACATCAGTGCATCCATGCGTAGCTAACCCAACAGTATGCTATCTAGAGCCTACTCGATATCTACATAAGTATATATCTTCAATCTCGGCACAGGCCATGGCAACATGGACTGCGAATCAACACCGCCATCGCCGTCGTCCTCGGGGGATGCTATTTCCTCAAAAGCATGGTCCGGCATTCTTCGCATCTCTTCATTTTGGATCAGATGAGCGACGTCCAGATGTTGGTGCGCGAGTGCTCATGCGCATGGCGTGCGTCCATACATGGTATCTCGAGAGCTGGCATCCACCGCAGTCGAGTGCAACAATAGTCGGACCACCTCGAGATGACTGTTCGCTGCGGCCCATGAGAGCGGTGTCCGCCCATAATAGGTATCGGCGAGATCGGAGTCCACGTCTTCCGTGTCCAATAGCTTTTTTACAATGCTAGCCCAGCCACTTTCACTGGCGTATGACAGCGGCGTACGATTGTATGCGGACCTGGAGTTTGGGTACGCCTTTCCCCTGCCTAATAGAAGATCGACCAGAGTCTCGTTGCCGAGCTCGGCAGCAATGGATAGTGCGGTACGATCAATTGAAAGACAGTCGATCGATTCAATATCTTGGGCTCCGCTCTCTAGAAGAAGCTTGGATATTGATTCGTGCCCTGCTGCGAGAGACCAGAGAAGTGGAGTCCGACTCGTGGACGAATCTTTCACGTCAAGATGAACGGCATTTGTCGCGATCAGAAGCTTGACTACCTCCATGTGACCGCCCGTTGCGCTAACGTAAGAGGTGAAGTGTTGTCGTGATTGCGACAATCCGGGTCGACTCCCTCGACGCAGAGAAGAAGTTTGACTAACGCATCGTGGCCTCCTGCAGCCGCCAGGATAAGCGGCGTGCTTCCTGTTGCACTCCGCTGCATCGGGTCAATGCCCCTTTGTTTCAGCAAAAGTTTCACGATGCCCACATGGCCCTGCGTTGCGGCTGATAGGAGCGGTGATTCATTCTGGGAATCACCCTCTGCATTAGCTCCGGCGGCTAGGACAAGCCTCACAACTTCCTCGTGACCATCTGCCGCTGCGTGCCGGAGTGCTATAGACATTGAAGAATCCGCTGTATCTAGGTGCCTTTTTTCCCGGTCCAAAAGAATTTCCACGATCCGTACATGTCCATTGGCAGCAGCCTGCTCCAGTGGCTGATACGATCCACCCCTAAAATAAGAGGGTTTACCACCAGCCCCCGCATCGAGGAGGACATTGACGACTCTTTCATGTCCATTTTTGGCTGCCAATGTCAAAGCAGACCCATAAAATAACGTGTCCTCTCCATCAAAGCCCTTGTCACCTAAACCTTGGCCTTTGGTGCCTACCAAAGCCTTGACTCTCAAGTCCAGGCCAAGATATGATACTAGCAAAATGTCGGAGAAACGGCGTTTATCTCAATCCGGCCACGGCCAGTATATACTAAACCACACATGAAATCGCCTGGTATCACGTTGGAACACTTCAGTCACTGATTTCAAAGTCGCCGATTGTCCTTCGGTTGACACCTTGCGAAAGTGACTGGCCCAATTCTTGGCGGCGTATTCTAAGAAATCGTGTTCTTGGGTATGGCTCTCGGAAAGATATTCAAAGTCTTCAAACAAAAGATATGTAGTACATATCTCAGTCATAAGATTGTTTGATTCGGATGGTATCAAAGAATGTTTCCAGCAAGCGGGCGCGACATCGTTATGCGGCCGATGCTCGATAGGTACGTGACCCGTTGAGGATCCCCGCTCCGCGCATGGTGCTAGTGTAATCTCTGCCTTTTGCACCAAAAATTCCTTTGCAATTTGATGCAACAGATATATCTTTGAATCAATGATAGCCACGAAAAGCCCGCACAGATTTCTCGCCACGGTGGGAAATCATGTCTCTGACTCGAGGTCGAGCTCCTCGTACGTACGATGAGTTGGACCCACGGCAAGGGCGATCCTCATTTCTTTGAGGGTCATCGGCCTGACAGCAGCGACAACAATATGGAGAAGTCGTTGGGCTTTCGCCCGGTCGGGACTCCGATCCAAGATCCTCTCGTATGCTTCGTCGACTGTCCTGGGGAGTGTGTGCATGATCTCTTGCACTTTGGCATTCGTGTAGCTGATGCTGTTCTCAATCACGTCAAAGATCAGAGTAACCCAGAGATATGTCCGATGGGGGATGAGTAGAAGCTGATTACAAAGAAACGCTCGTTCGTGGTTTTCAAGCTGTAGACGATCCCCCATTTCCTCAACGCGAGTTTGGATGACCAAATTAATCTCGTTGGAGATCTTCTCCGTCTCGACGTCGTCTTCGCCGCTCAAATGGATTTCAGGGACGTGATTCTTTATTTTGAATGGCTTCAATTGCGAGTAGGATCCTCCCCTCTTGATTCTCGAGATTTTGAGATAATTGACTCATCTTTGGTAGCGTGGTTGATGATTGAATAACTTAATTAATTTTATGGTAAGGAAGTTGAAGTGGGGTGGCCACTCGCCCGGGAATTACGTTAGTCAGTTAGAGGTATCTGATAACTAGAAGGATTGAAGAAGTCCTGAACAACTGCTTTCCAGGCGCCGAGGCTATTCTATCTTCAAGACCTCTGCAATTTGCACTCGGACCACCAACCTGGCAACCATAGCACAGACCCACAATGTACTCTCCCATACCCCTGGATCGCCTCCACCAGGGCCCGTGTGGAAAGTGGATACGGACTACTTGCTCCATCCAGTATGCACCCCAGTGCTCCAACGGCCTAACCGAGCTCACTAGTTCCTTAGGGGTTAAGCCCGGTCAATTCACTCTCGCCTGTCTATCACCTCTTTCCTCCTCGCTGTGAATTTGATTCGCGGTCAAGAAATCACCGACAGCCGGAATTCTCCTGGTCCGCAGCCTCAGATGAGTGACTGTGTAAACATCGGTTTCTTTTCCACACTATCACTGAGTGTGATACTTCCTCTTGTATACGAGTGACGATGATTGAGGTTGCTGGCTTATAGATCGTCTGAACTCCCCCGATAGAAACCCTCTGCCACTGTACACACGGAAACAAGGATGCTGCTTCCATTCCTTCTCACATGCCTTGGAGGCGTGGGATTTCTCTATCTCTATCACCTGAACCGGGGCTTGAAATGGGTGCCAGAGGAGGCTCGTCGCCTTTCTCCTCGCCGCTGGACCGTGGACGAAATCAAAGCAGCTCATGAAAAGGCCATTCACTCGCCCGTCGACGTGAGCAAGAGTCTTCCTCCAAGACAGAATCGGAGATACGTCGTGATTGGCGGTTCCGGTATGTACTCGGCGTCTTTGCAATTTACACTCAGGGGTAGAATTGACTAACAAGTTCTTGCAGGCCTGGTTGGCAACTGGGTGGTGACACATCTTCTGGCTCGCGGCGAGAATCCGGCGGCTATCCGCGTTCTGGACCTTCAGGCTCCCAGGCGCGAGACTCTCGATCAGGGGGTTGCCTTTGTTCAAACCAACATTGTGGACGAAAGTGCCGTTCTGAGCGCGTTCTTGCAGGCATGGTCCCCGACGGTTGCCGACCTACCTTTGACCGTGTTCCACAACGCGGCAGCGATCAGACCCGCGGAGCGACACAAGGCCTTCCTGCCTCTTTGCCGGAACGTGAATGTGGGCGGGACTGCCAATGTGTTGAAAGCCGCCAAACGCGCCGGCGCGAGCTGTCTGGTGGCCACATCATCGGGCTCTGTCACTATCCGTCCGCCGTCTTATTGGCTTACCCCCTGGACGCAGACCCCGAAGTACCTGGCGCAGGTGATGAGGGATTCGGACCAGTTGCCCAAGGAGCACAATGAATTCTTTAGCAACTATGCTGCGACCAAAGCCGAGGCAGAGGGAATGATCCGCGGCGCCGATGACCTTACATCCAATTTCCGAACCGGTTGTATTCGTCCTACCAATGGCATCTACGGCGTCGGGGTCGATAACAGCGCCACCATCGTTGGGCACTATCTCCGGATTGGAGGCGCCCCAAGGTAGGGCAGACCTCTCCTGTTTCTTTTTTTGGCTGTAGAAAATATTGTCTAATCAATTTCCAGCTGGCTGTACGACGTCATCCAAAGTTTCGTCAACGCCGAGAACGTTTCCATCGGCCATCTCCTATACGAGCAGCGACTGATCGAGCACACCAAGCACAGCGACCAACTCCCGGACATCGGCGGACAGGCCTTCATCGTGACCGACCCCAACCCGGCAATCACCTTCGGCGACCTCTACCTTCTCCTGACCACGCTGGTCAAAACTCCCATGAGCTTCCCGGTTGTCCCGGCGGTTCCGTTCTTCCTTATCTCCTACATGGTGGAGTGGTACGCGCTCCTCCAACATCTCTACCTCCCCTGGCTCCCCAAGGTCAAGCGCGATCTGGCCCAGCTGCAACCGGGACTGTTCTCGATCTCAAACGTCCACGTCATAGCCGACGACTCGCGCGCTCGCCTCAGTCCCGAACAGGGCGGACTGGGCTATTCCGCGCCCATAACCACCCTGGAGGGAATGTGCAAGGAGGTGGACGAGTGGAACCGGAAGGCTGATCAGAAGACTGCTGATGCTATTGCGGAGAAGCCGCTCTTTGAGATATCTCGGGACGGGGTGGACGTGAATCTGGCGCTTCCGGAAAAGAAGATTTAAGAGCTATTGAGCAATTCTTGCGCTGTGTATGCTATTCGAAGCCTAGCCGTCTCTGAGGTGGGATTAAAGCCGCTGCAAGGGATGATATTATGCAAGGAGAAGTTTACCGAGACATACTTATTATTGAATTGTACATACGACCCCAAGAGAAACAATCCATAATTAACGAAATAATTGAGGTTCCATTCTGAACTATACAGACAAATTTCAAACTAACAACATAACCAACCCCTACATCAACTAACTAAGATAACCCACCTACCGAGCTACCTTCTACCCTCTACAAGCGAGACAGATTCGCAAACTCGCCCGGCGCATGATAAGTCGGGACCTTCATGTCTAGCGCATCCCCTGAGTAACCCAGGTCCTCGGCCGTAAGCATAGCGCACTTCTCGCCGATCAGGAGAGCGGTCTAGGTCAAGGCGTTAGCATTTCGAATTTTCTATCTCTAACTCCCTTTCTCCCCTCTCATTCGATAGAAATACAAGGGGAGGTGGGAAGGGAGGGGGGGGGGAAAGAAGAACTCACGCTAAACGTATTACACCCGACATTATCCGGACAGATGGACAGATCGCAAACCTTCAGACCCTTAACACCGTAGACGTTAAGACGCTCGTCGACCACGCCGCCTTGCGGGGCGATCGAGCTGCCTTCGCGAGGCGCCATGCTGCAAGTTCCCAGCGAGTGCCAGGTAGTTTCGACGTGGCGTTGGACTTTGTGGGAGGGGTTTGTTAGTTTGGGTTGTCCATTTTTCTCATAATCAGGATGGAAAGGAAAGGAAAGGAAGGGAAAAGACATACCCCATTTCTCAATCTCCTTGATATCCTCCTTGGAGTATTCCAACGGTTCTCTCGTTTCCACCTGGTTGGAATTCAAATGCACCGACGTGGGAGCCTTACCGGGCTCGACCGGATGAGACCATGTGCCTAGAATTTGATTCACGTCTCAGTCAAAGGGGAAAAGAAAAAAGGGGAAAGAGAGACCAACCATGCTGAATACCCGCCGACAAATGATTCGGACCCGCGTAGGCCTTGGAAGTCGCGAGATCCATATCGAAGGCGCGGGCGGGCGAGTTGTAGGCATACAGCGGGTGATGCGAGGTCACTTCGCCGGCGTACGAGCTCATGCGGCGCGCCGTCTCGCGTGACTTGATGTAGCCCCAGACCATGGCGGCCATGTCGCGCTTGTCGTTCATGAAGCCGGCGTCAAAGTCGGGGGTTTCGTAGGGGTCGGGGGATTGGACGTGAGTTGAGCCTCGGGAGAAGGGGTATTCCTATTTTTGGATTAGAGATGGAACATGTCAAGAAGAAGAGAGATAGGGGACCAGGAAGAGGATTGCGTACCAGGAAGTGGAACATGGTGAAGAACTTGCCCGGGGGCATGTGCATGTGGTCACCGAACCAACTGTATAACAGGAGATGACTGTCAGCATTTGCTCCTTTTCTCTTTGCTTCTCTGGTGCATACCCCGAAATGACCGAATAATGCATAACCGGCTTGTCCGGCTTATTCTTAAAGTACGACTCCCAACCATCGACGAACTCCGGAGTCGGCCACTTCTTCATCTCGTCGAGCTCCTTCTGCGTGGGCCGGATCTTCACGCCCGCGTCGATACCGTTCGTCGCCAACGGCCCCGTGCCCTTGAGATTCCACTCCTCAAACACCTTCTTCTGCACCTCGGGGTCGCCGCGCACGAAGTCATCGAACGACTCCACGTCCGGCTTGGCCCGGAACACCGAGAACGTGAGGTAGTGGTCCTGGAAGTTGCGGCCCACGCCGGGCAGGTTGACCACCGGCTTGATACCGACCTGGCGCAGCTTGTCGGGGTCGCCGACACCTGAACGCTGCAGGACGAGGGGCGAGCTGAGCGTGCCGCTGCTGAGGATGATCTGCTTGCGCGCGCGGAAGATGCGACGCGGCGGATCGCGTCCGTCCAGCGGCTTGGTTGGCACGGTGGCCACACCCACGGCGCGTCCGTTCTCGATGATGATCTTGTCCACCTTGGTGTTGCACTTCAGGTGCAGGTTCGAGTGCCGGGCGCGCGTGCTGTGCACGTACGCGTGGGCGGCGTCGCTGCGTCGGCCTGGAAATGGATGTTAGGGTCTGGGTGGTGCGTAGTCGATGATAATATAGAAAACATACCAGTATCCCGGTTGATCCACTTCAGCCAATGCTCTGCTCCATGACTACCAGTCCCCCAAATCCATTAGTAATTGGCATAAAAGTACCCGAGGCGATGTTCACGTACGCAGTCTTCAGATCCTGCAGATCATCGGTGGTAGGGATGTCCTGGGACTCGGCGGCGCGGAGGAAGTCCTGCGCGATGGGGTAGGTGTAGTTGCCAAAGGACACCTTGATAGGTCCCTCGAAGCCGTGAATGTCACGATTGTTGCAGGCACGCTGGTACGTCTCGTGCTTCTTCATGAGCGGGATCAGCTCGTCGGTCTTCCAGCCGGGGGCTTGCCAGTCGTCGTAGTCCGAGGCCGAGGCGCGGGTGTACATCTACATGGATCACTGTCAGTATCCAGCTATCTGCAATGATAGACAATATGTAGTGATAGGGGTATGGTCGTTAGGGCTAACAGGGTAAGAGGGCTTGGTAC